GGTTGTGGTCATTGCTGTGGTTTTGGTTGTGGTCATGGTTGTGGTTTTGGTTGTGGTCATGGTTGTGGTTTTGGTTGTGGTTTTGGTTGTGGTCATGGTTGTGGTTTTGGTTGTGGTCATAGCTGTGGTTTTGGTGGTTGGGTTTTTTTTGGTGGTGGTTGTGATGCGTTGGTTTTAGTGTTGGCTTTTATCTTTTGCCCATACCTGTATGTGAAGGCCTGGTAATCTTGCTCTAGTAAAGCCACTATGTAGCCCAACAGCATCTCGGCACTGTTCCTCAAGGCAGCTGAGTGGGAGGCAGGTAGATCAGCATCGTCATTCGCGTCGCTTCCCGACCTCTGCAGAGATCTCCTGAAGGAGACGCCAATTTGTTTTCAAAGTGAAAGAGGTAAGCTTCAATTACCAGCTCTGTAACTGAATGAGACTGACTTTCTCAGCAAGCCCTCCCTCACCAGGGAAAAAAAAGGCTTAAAAGGTAACTGCATGCAACTGCTGCTGTGTCCAGGGAACACATGTACGCGGCGAAGATTTGTGGAATTCTGCACTCTTGCATATTTCATGCCAGACATGTGCATAGGAGCACATGAGCCAACCCAAGGGAAATTGTTATTTAGTGAAAGAGCACCGTCTCTTGCCTTAGGCATTGAGCCCAGTGCACCACCGAGACGTAACCTGGATTGGAAGGGCCATATCTTGGTTGACAGCAATGAGACATGGTCAGCATCAACATATTGACAAGCATTCCTTTTTTCCAGATGATTTTGTAGTCATATATTTGGTGGAGGAGTGCATATTGAAGTTTATATGTTCTTGCCTTTGAGTAATGAGAAATTCCGTGTTAAAACAGTCTTTCGCAATGGACCGTATTCGCGGTGTCCCCAATTTCAGTCGTATTCCCCACGTAATGTATTTATTTGAAAACGTTAAAGTCAAAGAACCAGACTATATACTACGATTTCATTCCAACCCCCCAAATCACCTGGTGCCACCCCATTACGGGTATCAAATTAATACTGTACGTTCAGGAAAATGACTGAAATTGGGGATACCAAGAATACGGTCTCTTGAATGGGCCTCAGGCAAAACATTTGGGCACTGTGGCTAAAACCTGAGCCGTGGCATGTACAACTGAAGCCACACTAAAAAATATGCCCCATTAGCAAATGGCCCGACTGGAGAACGGAGTGCAGATTACATTCAGTGTGGTACCTGATGACACTGCCAATGAAATCCCATGGCGTGTCAATCGGGTCGTCGCTCTCCAGCCCGAACGAGCCGTCGGTGGCAGGCATGAATGACTGCAAGTAGACGCCTGACATCTCAGGGGTCACGGGCCGGTGGATGCACAGCACAGCCTTCAGGACGTGGACGGCATGGTTCTTGAAGGCAGCGTCCGTGGACTGGGGGACAAGAAACACACAGTGGCTGAGTATGATGCCGGGAAGGCAACTGCGTGGGGAACAGCCTTCCATAACACCAGTAAACCTTTCAACGTTCTCAAGGTTGACAAACACTACATATGTTGTACTTAATTGGAAGTTAAGGCACAGAAAAGCCATATATGACCAGTGACTGGTTTTTATCTTCCTGTAATCATTCAAACCTGCTAGTAAGGTTTAAAGGATCTAATAGGTTTAAACTTGGACCATTAAAAGGTCAGTAAGGGGACCATACATGTTTAATAGGAATATTTTACTAAAATCCTTGATATTGCCTCTTTGTATTTCAATTCACCTTATTTTTACTTCGCTAGTTATCTGTATTTTGGAATCTTTTTGGTTCTATGCTTATATGGATTTGCATATTCATGAGCAAAACTGTGATGCAATCGAGGCACCGAACATCATTGTTGCATTGATCTTTGCTCAACAAATTACCAGATTTTTCTGTACTTCAATATTGAAGATTTCAAATTCGTTAAACAATTTATTGTGGTATAAGTCTATTGAAGACGGGTTTAAACTTGCACAAAAAGTGGCTCTAAGAAAAATTAATGGCATTGCTCCCTTAGCTCTTTATGGACAAACTGGACCATCTGATTTTGGTATTGAACCATGTTAACCCCTATGACGAAACAGAGGCTGGCCATACAAGCTATAGGGAAGTATTAAGATTATATGTAAATGTCTACTCCATGAGCCAATGGGAGACAAAGGTTGACCATTTGGTGCCACCCAATTGCCTTTAGGATTTAAGGTATTTTCCGGACTTTAAGGAACACGCCACATTGTCACAGCCCTTCATTGAGAACAGATCAGTCATATCAATTTAAAACAAACAGATTTTTTCCTCCACCGTCCCCAGCTTTTTTTTTGCAAGAGGATCAGGATTAAAGAATAGCTAAACATCATCTTCCAACAGACTTTGTTAAAATTGTAGAGTCAGGAAGATCATGGTTGCAAGGTTCAGTTGAACATTTTGAATTGCGTTTTAGCATCTTAGGAAACACACTTGTCAAATTTCCATCGTAATTTGGTAACATTTTGCATTCTCAGTTTCTGTTGAGGACAAGAATGCATGCAAGGGCATGAAACTACAAAAACAGGTCGAAAACAGAAGGACTTTTAGGCATCCTAAGACACAGTGCACTGATTATCAATTGGGAAAGGACTGTATACACGTTAAGTACAAAATTATGAAATCACCTAATCAAACGAAAAGTTACATATTTGATGTGCATATTCTATTGGTCAGTCAGCGTTAAGTAGGTCAACCAACCAGCCAGAAACACATGCCCTTGTCTCACCTCCAGAATCTTGCTCATGATGATGTGCATCAGAGAGGAGGGCGGGTACCTCTTGGCCGACAGGTGGGCGTGGACGCTGTGCACCCCCTTCAGCCAGAAGTCCTCCTCAAAGTAAGCCACCATGAGGCTGCTCACTACTTCTGGGAAAGGCCTGCCAACCACACTTTCATCCTGAAATAGGAAAAAAATAAACAGCTTGAAAGGCAATGTGGATTTACAAAGGCAATTTATCTCATTCTCTAGCCCATATATCGAGTTGGTTTGCTGCGAGCACCTAGATCATAATTATCGCGGCTCATTAGGCCCAAAAATATTCCTATTTATGTCATGTACTTCCCTATAGCTGAAGCCATCAGAGCCATGTACGAATAATACACAGGGTTTCTGCAACCAACAGTCTACCGAAATGGTCGTAGATATTCGAAGGCACAAGGCTTCAGCATACCACTTCTCATTTTGCCAGACCATTTTGCATGTGGCATCAATTGTGTACAAACAGTGAAACAACCTATCATTCTATAAACATCCAGAAAGGTTTTTTTTCCCGAGGAGCACCTTAGCCTAAAAAGGGAACACGGACTTACGGTAAAAGTAAACTGACCTGATATTTTGGAGTCTGCACTTGCATCCAGTAGGGCACGCGGGAGTAGTGGCCTTCTGCGTGCTACGAAAAAAAAAATGAAACTGCAAATTCAAAATATGTCTGTGGCACCATCTCAAAACTCATCCAGGACAAGGTAAGGACAAGGTACAAACATGCTGACGACGTAACCACTTATAACATGTACATGTGCGCCACCTTTCATCAGCAATTTGTCAACTGTGAACGACTTTACATGTGGGCTGAGGGCCGACAACAGGTGGTTCCCACAACAGTGGTTTGTGGTCTCTAGGGGAGTGACTTTCGATTAATAAATACAAGCCACCTAAGTACACCATGGTCTAAACTTGGTTGGCTAAATCTGAGCATGGTCGGCTGCGGGGTGGAAACAAACTAATATTTTTGTTGACCCACGTGGATTTTCATAACACGTGCAAAGATGGTGGCTTTATGATGTTTTTATTTCACTTTGTTTCTACATTATAACTTTCAACCAAAGCTAGGTACTAAGGAACACTAGGAGCAAGGCAGAAGAAAATAACATTTGGAGAGATTAGCAGTGACATTTACACTTTGAAACTTGCTAATGAAAATGCTAATCTGAAGGAGAAAATTTATTTGATAACTGCATTTCTAGAAAATGTCTAAGGACCATTTTAAAGCAAGTCCTCACTCTGTCTTCTAATGATGCTATATCAACAGGACAGCACAGTTGAAACAGAGTAAAGAGAAATCATATAACTGACAGGAAGAAATGGGACTGTGCAGACAGGATTTACAGGCCTGATGGAGGTACAAATTCAGTAATGCGCTGTGCGTATACACTTCACATCACCTCGCAGTTTCTTTTAGTTATGTGGCCTGCTCCAGGAAAAGGTGTTATAAGTCGCACCATGCATTTACGAGCAATGACCCACTCGACGTTGGATTCCAAAATTCCTTTTTCCGACAAAATCATTGAAAATACTAATTCCTTAGTCCTTGTGCGAATTTTGAAGGTAGTTGTAACACAAGAGCATGTTGGTTGCTAAGTAAGATTTAAATGCCTACAACCCACATTAGAGCCAGATATTTCAAAGCCTGTTTTCTCGGTTTTGCAATTTCAATTGCCTGGAACTAATTAATATGCAAATGTGTCATAACTCCGGAACGGGAAAGGCTGCGGAGCTCTATCATATACCAAATGAAAGCTTACAACGAGGGCTTTCCAGTCATGTATATAAATTGATTTCTTTTTTTTTGCAACTTATATCACCTTTTCTCAGAGCGAGTCACATATTTTACAGCACTTACATCACAACTGAACCTAACATGTTTAGACTGTAGAATAAGATTCATCATTTTGAGGTAAATCTCTGCCATTTTTGTACCTTCCTCTTCAGTTCGGCTACCGTCTGCTGCACCTGGCTGGATGTAAACTTCAGCTTCCTCTTGACGGCCGCGTTTGCATTGACTTTAGCGTCCACCCAGGTCCACGGCGTACTCCCCGGAGAAGGCGCCGTACTTGCAGAGGTCCGGTTTGTCTTAGTCAGACCGGCCTGGGTCAGTGTCAACTGGGTCAGGGGTGACTTGGTCACCGTCGACTGGCGCCTCGCAATGGCCACCGACGGACTACCTGCTGATTGAGAGGACTGGCTCTGGTGCTGGCTCAGCTGAGACGACCCGGTAAACACCAGCGATTCCGAAGATGAAGACACCTGGCTCAGGGGCACTTTCTGCGACCTTTGGTTCTTGCCTTTTTTCGAGGTCTTGACAGCTGATGCTGCTGGAAGAGAAAATGTAGATGAAGTGTGACTGACAGGGTGCCCTGAACATGACATTCCAACAGCCTAATTTCTCTAAGCATCACTCTGTTCTTGGCATCACTTTTTTGGCTTTTGACGTCACATGTTTTGGCTGAGCGTCACAATTGTTTTAGGCGTCCCCTTTTTCTGTCACCGTCACAATTATTGGAAGAGTGTCACAATTTGGGGAGCAGGGCATCGCCGAAAAAAAAAGCGACACCCAAAAAAAAGTGATGCCCCCCCCAAAAAAGTAACGCCATCCCCCCAAACAAACAGATGTTAAAGAATACACGCTTTCCAAGTTTCTTTTGAAGTTAATACCCAGTTTCCTCGTGCAACCCAAAATTCAATCCTCGCCCAATTTCAATCGCTAAGATTTTGATCAATGACACAAAAGAAAGATGAGGGATTTTTGAAAACTTTGTGTCTGATACCACACATTGAACACATCATGTGGATGAGAGGGTCATCCATTTTTCTCGATTTTCACAAGTGAGCAAGCAAGCCAAAGCAGACACTATATTTTGTACCTGTCCTCGTCTTGAAGAGTGTCCAAACGAAGAAGAAATTTCTGTGCAAGGAATTATCATATTTTTTACATTTCTTAAAAAGTAACCAACCCCTTAACCTCCCTCCCTTCCGCCAGCGTATGATTTGTACGCTCGTGAATACGATGAGGGAAAGAAATGGCTGACCCCTAACTTCAGCTGTGCCAACCACTTCAGTGCATTCACCTTGTGACGATCTGGCGATGTCTGCTCCCCTCGACGTACCGTTTTCTGACGAGGACTTCTTCTTTGCCTCAGGCTTGTAGACTGCAATGTCAAACTTCTCCTGATTTGGTGCCTCCTGGAAACAAAGGTAAAATATCTAAGCCGCCCATTTTGCTTGAGGACTTCGACGGCGCACCTATCTTTCAAAACTGTCGCATGCCCCAAACGGAGCTTTTTGTGAAGTTCAAACTGATAAGTTTGATTGATAGTACACTGTTCAATGTTGTTTTGATGTGAAACTCAGTGGCATAAAGTTCAAAACACTTTACGGACATACTGTACAGAACAAACAGACAAACAGAACTTTATCTAACAAAACGTCAAACCGGATGAACATTTTAAAGACCAGCAATCAGCTCAAAGATAAATTCATACAATGATATGATACTCAAAATCAACATTTCTTGAGGCTAGTACAAAATCTTCACCTCAAACAAAAATTCGGCAATAAATTCTGGGGCCAAGCATGGGACTCTTCTCTCCCGTAGGGGGCGCACTTTCTCCTCAAAACACTTGTCCACAAAAGCATAGGTCAGCAATTTGGCAAGATTGTCCGGTTCTTTGATGGGCAGCCTCTGGGATAAGACCACGCCCCCACCACACTCAATCAACCTGAGAAAGCAAACATTGTGAGTCAAGAAAATCAGCAACTTTTGAGATTAAATTAAACAGTGAAGAATTTAGAAAACCAACTTTCCAAAGAGGGAAACTCTTTGGGAAACTCCATTTTCCGAAGTGAAAGCAAATTCTTATTCCTGCCAAATGTGAACACAAAGGTGAATTTGCAACGTCACGTCATGTATATGCACTGTCCTTTTACAATACTGAAGAGCAATTCAAGACCTGCAAATTTTGCCTTAATCTTTCTTTCAATTTCTTTGCACTGAAATTGCTTCACATCTGCACTGCCGATCGCTCTGAACACAGGAAATTTATACAGTTACTTTTTGACATGATTGTTCAAAAGGCTTCAACAGGCATCAATTACTCACATTCTACCTCATTCTAAATGAGACCATTCATCAAAACCTTCATAGTTTGGTTTCGCAGAAGTTTCACATGCTTAGACGGTGAGACCATGACAATTACGGAGTGCCCTCATAACTTCTGCTCAGTACCGACGAGTTTTTTCAAGGGCCAACTGGTACCTTTTGTACACAGCCGGCCTGTTGTTGTTGCTTGTCACCAGGATGATGACGGTCCATCCCGAGAACGCCCATCGGTTGGTCTGCTGGATGTGAGTGCGCCATCGCTTGGGGGCCCAGGCCATTGATGAGAAGGGCTCGTCACTGTCTGCCAGCTTGTCGTTGCCCCAGATGTAAGGTTCCTCTTCCAACCACTGGCCGGCCGCCAAGCTTGCCTTGATATACTCAGGGGTAACGATCCACTTACCTGGGAGTAGACAAAAAAACTTCCTTATTCGACCATAGGGCAAAATGAATAAAAATTCTTAAACAGTGACTGTATAGAAACTACATAGCACTGTGACGGGCAAACAGACACCCAGTCCTTGATATCCAACTGAAAGGGATAGGTTCCCAGTTCCATTTGGAATTGTCACTATTTTAAACCTTCCCACCAAATTCTCAATTAACCTTTCAGAAAATAAAGCACAGATTTTCATTTCAATCATTTGCCCACAAAAAAATAGGAGAAATTGTTTTGTCCAAAGAATGCTTTCGTGTCAGTCTGCGTGGAATGATATAAGATACTTAACAGCAATAATCGTTATAACTACGTATACCCAGTAAAAAAAAATCTACCACAAAAAAAGTTTCATTGTGGCCAGAAACCTAGGTAGGCAAAACAATGCTCTATCCGTACAACTGTCAAAGTGAAAGACCTGAGAGAAATAATCCAACAGCGGGGTTGACCATCCCAAGACCAAGCAGCCTTAGGGTCTTGAGTCCAACAAACACCTGGCGAATCAACAGTGCCAGTGTTTAAGACGACTATCTCAGATCATCTCAGAGCTGGCTCTTAGAAGTGGCAGTACAGGCTACAGCTACTGACTGCCGAATACAACAGGATTCACCAATTTCTGTATTCCATGTCGTTTACACGTTAGGGACTAGGGAAACTATTCGAAGCAAACAGCGTCTGTTTGTTAAAATGGAAACTAGCGAGAGACTTACCTGCCGCACAGCCACACAAGTATTTCTCGCTTCTCATTGGTCGCACGCTGACAACATGGGTGCATTCAGGCACGAACATCTGGTCAGAAAGAGGATTGCCTTATAAGTCATAAAGATAGGAAACTCTAAATGGTACCTGGGATTTGTTGATCTTCATCATGTTAAAACACACAGTGCCCAATTTCTGTTAAAAAACAATGAAAATATGAATGGTGGAATTTGATTTGTATGAAGTTTACAGGATAACATATCTGTTACTTTTTTTGCTTGCCTTGATCTGCATATCCCTGTACACACAGACATACATGTATACCTTTGAGTCCAGGTATCTCCCACCAAGTCTGGAGATGCTGTCAGCCAAGGTCATTTTCTCATGATCTGGAAAGCCGGATAAGAGAAATCGATACTGCTGCCGGTCCGACTGGCGGCGAGCGACCGGCATGTCTTGCTTCATTGTGGTCCCCAGCTCGTCCAAACTTACGTGTAGGAGAAAAATGCAATCAGTAAACAAAGAAAAATGTCCAAGTCCCCCACACCGACAGGACCTGAAGAGCAACTACATGTACAACCAGAATTACCTTCATGATACATTCCATAGAACCTTTGTAAAACAACTTAAGTGTCCTGAAATTTAGTTCAGGTGAGTGTCCCCTAACTTGGCACACTTGAACTACAAGTTTTCAATTAATCCCATTTTTTAAAGCATTTTATAATTAATGTGTTTTTCTTGTAAAGCGTTTTGAGATATTTTATGGAAAATGCTATTTTAAGAATAAATTATTATTATTATTATTATTATTATTATTATTATTATTACATGCAATGTGTCCCTCCCTCAGTCCTCTAACATGGTGTAATTCAACAATTCCCTCGAAAAACAAGTTATTATGCATATCAAACTGTCAGTGGTGAAAATAAATCAACGGGTTAATCAACATACACAGTCTTGATAGGTTTGCGGTAGCACCATGGATATAAATCTCTTTTGTGAGGTTCTAAAAAGAATCGGTGGCACTCAACGTTTCGGACAGTATGCTCTGTCCGTCGTCAGGAGACTGCAGAGGGTCTAGTGACAGCGTCAGTCTCCTGATGACAGAAAGAGCATAGTTTACTTGCTACCTCCACCATGAAAAGTTTCAACTCGCATACATGGTCTTCTTATCTACATGTATTGACTATTCTTGAAGAGTTTATTTGAAACGGTATCTCCACAATTCAAGGATTGGGGGAAATTTGTGATGTACAACTGTACTTCAAGTGAGAAAACTAGCAGTGTTTGGCATGTTTGGCTACAACCAAAAAAGAAACGACAGACGTTATGTCTGTACCTAACACCAGATTCCGCCAAATGGATGATGCAAACCAGCATTGGGATCACTGGTTGAGATCCAGATCCGTATGAAACAAACAGGTCCCTTACACATGTAGTTACAAGGATGCCATTTTTTATCATGGTTCCTGAATCTATCCTATTCAACATGTTCAATGAATGTAACTGTGTTAGCCTAATCTTTGTAATCTTTTTGTGATTCATGGTGCGTACCTCACATGCTACACTTTTTTATTATGTGGCTTAAAACATTTAGGTAGGGTGAATCACAAAATTACAATTGTTTATCAGCATAAATGACATTCATCTGAAGGTCAAATTTTATTTAAGTTCCACTTTCAGGCTTGGGTGACAAAATAAAAAGTTAATCTCGTTTTCGATTCAATATGGAAGACCTGCATGAACTGTCACTCAGCTGCTCAGCATGTGCTCGGTGTCACTGTCAATGACTGTCAGAAATTGGCAAATAAGGCCGATTGTTTTGTTTATAAAAATGAATAGAGGGGCACATCCTTGTATTTTAATCACTGACCTGTAATAATATAATGGCTAGATGTTCCGCGTATCTCACGGGCAGTGTCTTCAAATACGACAAATTTTATAACGGGGAAGACGCTGGGGCGAGACCGTACGCGAAAATATCGAATTCCGCGCTAAAATCTGAAATAGACTGGACCGATCCAAAGTGTACGTACATCAACCTGATCTGAGCAGGGAATCAAACTGCATTCTGGAACAATCCATAAATTTCAAAAGGGTACGGGTGGGCACAAGACTGAGGTTCGTACTCCTCTCATCAATTTACTAAAGTTGAGCAATATATTTAATTTCTGTAGCCAAGTATCATCAATATAAAATCTTTCTAAGTACTGTGAATGCTATTTTTTAAAGCTTTTTTTTCTAAATTTCTAGTTTCAAATATACCCGTAAACTACTTGTCTATGGTCCTACAAAATTATATTTTAACAAGCAGATATCGCACCATCTAGTCGGGTGCCAACAAACCTGATGGAGTTCGTATCTTTTCAGTGTTGTGTATAAGTTACCAAACCTCCTGTAAATTTCTTTGTGGCTGGCTGGCCGGGAAGGCAGTGTTTCTGAAAGATTTGCTTAAAATGATGGGTTCATCTCGATCAGCTCGGGCCGAAACCCGTAGCCGTGCCAAGGATGAAATAAAACGTGTTATGCAAGCCATTGATAAGGTCCGGAAATGGTAAGAAACCAGCCTTTTACTCAAAATTTCACGTTGTTTTTACAGGTCAGCTGCAGTGTAATTAGCCCCACTGCTACTAGTACTAGTACTACTAGTACACTAGTGTGGCATGGACTCTCACTCCCGCTCCATCCTTAGCCACACATCCGTATACGCAATTTCGAGTCGGCGTAGGGCCTACTGAAAATTTTCGGCGCACCTACTTATCATCGTGGGCGCAATTTCTTTTGCACACAGAGATGATCCTTAGCCTCTCCGCTTTCTTAGCACCATTTATTGAATGATTTCACTCACGTTCTGATATTTTCCAGAACAAAATGCAAGAGTTCATTGAAACCCTATTTCCAGTCCAGTACCAAAGGAAATGGGTTTGAGATGAACTCTTGAGAACCGCTCTAAAAGAATATGATGTTGTCACATTTGAATCGGAATTGATACATGTACTTGTCACTTGATGCAGAAAATAAGCATTTACAGTAAATGACCAGATAACAGTCCGGGGTTGCCAATTTCAGGTTAATCTCATGCCCATGAAAGATTCCTTACGATAAAATTGGTTTTCCTGCTAAACAGTTTAAAAATCAAAATGACCATTCAAGAGCAAAAATTATCACTTACATTTAACTTCAGTAGTAGTCTCAGGTGCGAGTTGTCCCGATTTGATTATCTAGACCTACGTCATACATGATGTGGATCTATTAAACTTCTCTTCAGGGAGAAAAAGTGGGTCACCATCGGAGACACATCAATAAAGATCTTCAAGTGGGTACCGGTTGTGGAAACCAAAGGCAAGGAGAAAGAAGATGAACAGAAGAAAAACGAGCAGTCAGCCGATGCCAACAAGGAAAACAACCCCGAGGGATTGGGGTCAGGGTCAGAGGTCACTGACCTGGGAAAGCAAACCGGAGACACTGGTAAAGCAGAGCTTTTATGGTATACAAAAATTATACATGGAGTTTGTTTATTGTTAAATATATTTGCAATGACAACCTGCAATGATTTGATTCAAACAAAAAAGAATGGCAAGTATAACAAACATGTTTTACCTTAGTGTCTTTCTCGCTTCGGTGTTTCAGGTGGATTGGAACAAAATTGGTGCAATGATGACGTACTTGTACGCCGTATGTCACAGAGTAGAGATTTACATATACCTCACTCCTGTTCATACAAGTTATTTGTTACATTGATTGTAACTGAAACCACTGGGTTTAAGCATATGTTGCGTGGAGCAGGGTTTTTTCAACACATCATGTACATATTGTTGACATAGTTTTGCACATCATGCTTTCAAATGACAGAGCAGTGTGGCGTTTTGTGACTTGTTCCAGTTTTTGGAACACGGATGTGAGGGCACATCTGTTGTGACATTCAAGGATTCTGGACTATAAGGGTAAAAGAACAGGTTTAACAGGTTTAGGAGGGTTCCCCAGCACAAGCGCCACAGGATGGTTAGGATTAGTAGGAACGGCAAGTAAGGGAACAGGTTTAGGAGGGCTCCCCGGCACAAGCGCCACAGGATGGTTAGGATCAGTAGGAACGGCAAGTAAGGAACAGGTTTAGGCGGGTTCCCCAGCACAAGCGCCACAGGATGGTTAGGATCAGCGCAAAATTTGTCGACCCTTTCCAGACTCACATTGGGTTGACAGATTTTGCTTATTCTGATTGGCCAAAGCACTGCAAACTCTTGGTGACGCACTGTTATGAAACACCCGTATTCATGGTATGAATTCCTTTGGTATGGTCGGGCTGTAAAGTGTTCTACATTTTACGGGCATCGTTTACAATACAAATGAATAGCAGATTGTATCAATCAAAATGTCAAACCTCTAAAAGGGATGGTTCCGTTTAAACGTTTGGGGAACTCTTTTAACAGATTTGCAACTTCTTTTGTTTAAACGTGTAAGCATTCCACCCTTAATGGCAAGAGTAACTACTTTCTCATTGTTCAATCCCTGTGCGGCTTTCTTTGGCAGATTCAAGCAAGCAGGGAACCCCGGGGCAAGGGGACAGCCAGCAGCTTGGGCAAGAACCCCTCAGGCACAGGGACGTCACTGCCCTGATAGAGGATGCCAGACTGAGTAAGTCCAGTTCCATCTAAAAAACAAAACTGAGATGTAGGCCTCACCGGTACACCTTTTGGAAGACGTGCGGTTCTTAGAAGAGCCGGTGAGTGTTAACTCAACGTTTCAGCCAGGATGCTCTGACCATCCTCGGGAGAGTGTGCCAGACTCGAGTGGAGAGGTAGGTTATAAAGGTAATCCGGAAGCGATGGAGCGTGGAATGGGATTCGCGGCACACTCTCCTGAGGACGGCCAGAGCATCCTGGCCGAAACGTCGAGTTAACACTCAAACCGGTTTTTCTAAGAACCACACCTCTTCCAAAAGAGATTGACTCCATGATGTACCCACAGTCCTAAAGATGTAACTTCCACCATGTAAAACTTCAAATCTTACTTTTAAAAAAACAACCCCCGGGTCTGTCCAACATCTGCCTGGAGGTTTTGCTCATTGACTGACTCAAGCAGGTGCAACTTCAAACCTCTACCTGCATTTACTTTGACATCACTTCCATGCTCTAAAATCAGTAAATTTGTGTATCGGAATACATAGACTGAAATAAATTTCTTGAAATGTCCAAACGTTGGACACATACTTGCACTCATTTTAACATGTTTAAAGAGTCATGTTTTTAATAGTTGCCTGGGCCCATTTTTTTTTTCAGATTCAGTGAAAGCAGAGTCAATGAAAGAGTCAGACCGCCCCAACGGATCACATTAAAAAACACAATGAAATTTTTTTGTGTGGCAGTTTACGCATATTGCTTGTGACTTGACCTGATTCTTGTTGACTTGGGGTCAACTAACAATGACTCAACAAAAACTCAGATGGAAGGGGTCAAGTTGGTCATTGATATACAGTTTCCACACTGTATTATCTATGAATGTCTGGATAATCTGCTGAAGTTATATTTCAGAAGGGATTTGACACCCAGACAAGTAGAACTTAGTCGAAATGCATTTTTGTAGCAAGTGAGGATGAAATTGACGCTATAGGTTCAAAGCATCGCTGCTGGTAAGCTCACAGTAACGGTAGAGGAAACTGTCTGGAATGTTTTTCTCCCTAGCTCCATCATCAGCTCTGAGCCACGACGATTCCACCATGGACTCAACCATGGACTCCACCTACAGCAGCGACAATGACGACAGAAGCAGCACAACGGGCATCAGCGAGAGTAAGTGGGCTAAGCTTGATCCGTAGTGGATTTCACAAAGCGCGGCATTACCTCAGACCATGCGTAAGCCTTGCACCGGCAACATTTGCCTTAGCTGCACAATATGCTTACCCTTGATTTCACAAGAAGTTGCCCTGCTGCGAAACATTTTAATTATGTTCAATTTCTTGGATGAGGGGGAGAGTTTCTACTCAAAATTAAAACCAGACTTTTGAATTATGCTTTTATCCAAAGTTGTATTATTCAGGATAGGCATGTTCATATTGCAACAACTTTGAAAAGTTAGCCTAAAGTCCTCCTCCATCTGCTTACATTTGACTTGTCATTGGAAAGGAAACTTACCGTGGATATAATGTTTCAGGTGGAGAGCATCGAAACTTTGGTAACTTGAAAAAAGACGACACAACCAGTCAACCTCATGAACAGGCCTCTTTGTTGGAATCTAAGGACTCCAGTTCCAAGACCTCGAGCGCCAGTGCACCCTCATCTGGAAAAGTAAGTTTTCCATGTTGGACTTAAACGGATGATAATTATTGCTAGTCAATGAAACAGAAAGGGCATATTGGGGCTAGTTTGAACAAGGACCACTTGTTTATGTATTTTATACATTGAAGAAAAGTATAAAATATCACACAATGTCGAGATCGAAAGAATAGGTCTTTTGCAAGTTAAATATGGTTAAAATCGGGTACACCGAGTTCTTTAAATACACATAAACATCTCAATTGGAAAACACTGTTGCTATACCTTGTGATTTGGGGACTAGCTTTTCCTTAGTTACGTAAAAGATGCCTTGCCTCAGTACACTTTTTTCAATGGACAAGAAAGGCACAAAGGAACCAGTCCATTCGGGAGGTGGTGGTCGCTATACACAAGCTGGCACCGAATCACGAGGTATAGCAACAGTGTCTTCAGTCTGGGGAATTCCGATTGGTGCATTCAGATAACTTAGTGTACCAGATTTTATTCAAATTTCACTCGCAAAGTATGGCTTAGTCATTACAGTGACTGAAGAACAAATTTTGAGTCCTCACAATGCATGTGCAAGATCACTTGCCTGTTTGTAACAGCGGCTGATACAGTTTCTGTAGAATCCTGACAGTGCCACGTGCAGTAGGCCTGGCACGCACTGTTCATGTATACGGAAAATATGCCGTGCATTCCAAAATTAGATACACCATGGGACTATTAATAGTCACAAGTACTGTGATTCCAAGAAGGATCACGTATATAGACGATACTAGGCAGGTTTCAGCCAGTGCATTGTGGCAGTTTGTTGTTCAGGTTTGTTCCAACAAACTTTCTCATTGTCGGTACTTTCCAAGTTGTCATACCTTTGATAAAAAAACGAGTTTCAGTAGCTCCAACTGTTGAGATGGAAATTAACAACCATGGGAATAGTGAAATGGAAGCATATTAAATATTGAAATTCATGCAGCACTTTTGATCGTTTTAAAAAGAAATGCGGTTGTTTATTGTAGGATTTATCAATGCACCTGATCTCTGCTCCTGTACGGATTCATGTGCCTTCTTATTATCATTGAAGTCCAGTCAGTGCTTTAAATCAATTGATGTCAATTAAACAACCCTAATATCTGCTCCAAGCGGGAATGGAAGAGGGCCTGTTTTTAAATGAAATTGACCTGTGGTACGAACTCACTGCATAGGCGTGCATGTTTAAACGCATGTAAGAACCTGGGAGGGGAAGTTCTTACCAGTCTGTCTTTCTTTCACCAGTGAGGGTGCACTTGAACTCGAAGCTATCAGTCCAAGAAAGGGATATTCAAGACAATGATGCAAAAAGATGCCAAATTTATTTTTTCCAAAAAGACAAGCAATTAAATCACAGACTTGTTACATGTTAGTCACTGATTTTATTAGGAAAAAGCCAGTGCAATGTACAGGTGTAAAAAAATTAATATTACAACCAAGATTAAGCATGCCCCCATGATGATTGGCCCGTTATTTACATTCATAACATGTTTGTCTTTGCAGCCAGGTGACGACAGCGAACCGCCAGCTAAGCAGCCAAGACTTCACACAGAAGCCGCTTCTAGCTGATAGCTCCCGACATCATGTCTACTCTACTCCCTCCCCCCGAAACTCTCACAAGCACCACCTCTACGGGATGCAGTGTCAACTCTCTCTTTCTCTGTCTGGTGCTCGTCCCTGATCCTGCCTGCTGATTAGCACAAGAGGCCATTTTGGTTTCCGTCAGAGCACAACTCCAGGGCCCGGAGCAGTGGTTTTCTGCTTTTTTGCAGTTCAGAGACAACATGTCATTGAATGACATTCGCACCAAATTTGTGGAACAATACATATTGCACATAATATATTGAACGGTTTGGTTAGCATTGGAAGTTATTTGTCCCCAAGGTGTTGGCTGACTTGGAATGCCTAGTGACGTGAAGCAGATCGAGTCGGAATCGGCCAGCCCCAATGAAACTGTGGTACACAGTGTAGTTTGGCGAGCAGAATGAGCCATCTCTGCAGTGGCACCGTGTGCCCTCATACTTTGTTAACGTGTGCGCTTTTTTAGGGAGACTTAGTACATCGCATCCCATCTCACTGCCATAGGACAGCGCACATGGAAACAAAGCATGACATCATTAACATTACAGGTCTGTTGGCTTTATAATTCAACCTTGTACAAGCTGTTCAGTGAATTTCTGCTTGATGGTCTTTGAGTGTAATGTATTTGAGCAGCCGTGCACTTCTGAAAGGCATGATGCCCTAGTCTGGTGTCTGAGCTCTATATAAGGATGATGTAAGGCATCATCTTGCCTAGCACATGCTAGTATGCATTGTACTTCACCTAGTCTCATAACAAAGTGCTCTTTTGTGTTCATACCAAAGACATATTGGAAGTCCAGGCTGGCCTGACATCTGATTAGTCAGAAGGGTTGAGGAGAAAATATTTAGACATTTATTCCAAATCAATTTTTTTTTAAATTATGAACCCCTTTCAGGAACTATTTTAATTCATTCATTCGTACAAAGATGAACAAACGAAATGACTATAGCAGAATTATGTGAAGTTACCAAAACATCTGTCTGAAAATTGCTGAATTATTTCCTCGCAATAATGTTGTTCAGGTTCAAAATGTACAGTCCTCTGTCCTCAGTCCTCTAAGAGATGGATTGAGGACTTTTTAGGGGTACGTATCCAAAAACATCTTTCAACAAACTATTGAGCAAAGTTCTTTTGTTCCTCTGCTCTTAAAGACCAAGCATTGATTGTACAGGTCACTTTATTGTGCTTTTTTAACACCATTGTCCTTTTGTACATACAACTGTTTCATGTTCAAATAATGGTGACTTCTACTGCATTTTTAGTACCGTTTATGGTGCCCGAGTTGTGTTATGTGTTAGGTCTGGTAACTGTACATAATCTACTATCACTTATGTTACCACTTCACGTCGAATTTCTTGTTCTCTTTTGGTGAGCAGTTTAAGAAACTTAGGCAGAAAGATATTTATTGATATTTAGAATATGCTTTATCTCTATTAGCTAAGAATGCTTACTTTTCTGGTTTGTTTGAGTACTTTTGAGCCAATAGCAACCTTTGTACCACTCACATTGGCGTCATTTTCTACATCCTCTGTAAGCTTGTGGTCAACTTCAGCCAGAATTAGATTTTTGGGTTTTAGTTACCTTGTGTATAAAAATAAAATTTCTGTGTCGTACTCTATTGTCTCTGCATAGGTTCTTACTTGAGAAAAGTGTAACAGTGACGCCAAGGGTTAATATGTAACTTGTCTGTAGTCTCTCCTCCGTGTACGTACAAACTTATCGGTTTGTGAGATCAGGCTGGATTTGAGGTGTAAAGTTCCAAATCGATCTCTTTTCAGTTTTTTCTGCTTAGTGCGGCGATGTCAGAATGTATTCACCAAATCCACGCAAACACGTTATCACTTCCGTGATTCAATAGAGCATGAATGAACTAGATTGTTAACAGCTTCGTCATATATGCACATGTAGTTCATTTTAGACACTAGTTTGGGGAAACTCAAAAGCACATTTTGTTGATGTCGATTTCCCAATGAGCATGAGAGCTTGGGAGTTCCCATTAAGGTACAATTTTTTCCTCAAAAGCCCCTCGAATCAGTACATTCTCAAGGGGCCGCACAGGGTTTGCAATACGTATGCATACTGCGTAACGATAAAGGTATTCCGGGTATGAATGACTGGGCGGAACATAGGCCGGAATTTGGGGCACTGCCACCCTTCGCCTCGCAAATCCTTTGCTGCAAAAACCCTTTTCCCTGTTACTTTCTCTTGAGGGCACTTCTTATCTAGTGCCCTTTATTAATATCGCAGAAAATGCGCGGCCATATGAAGAGCACCGGTCCGAAACTATCAGCATTACTTGAGAAAATGCTGCAAGTCGAATTTTGGGTGAGTTTCAGCTGGAGTCATATCCTAGTAAAGTGGGGGCGCTGTATTTAATCTAAAACAAATCTTAAGCCCACTATTGAGGACTTTTGTAATGTGCATCTCAATGTGAAAAACTATCCTTGTGCAACTTTTATTTCAGAAAAAAAAAGGAATGTAAGTATAACATGCATCTGTTAAAGGTCTCTGAAAGAAGGTGGTATAGTGCATTAGGCTTTTTAATACTGACAGTGTTTTTGGTTGGTAAAATCTCGTTCATCTGACACGATCTGAAGTACAGTACATGTACCACCGATCTCCGCAGAACAGCGTCACCAGCAATGAATCATGTGGGGTCCCTTTCTGCCCAGGTTCGTCGGTTTTAAGAAGGTCAGGTGACGGGTCGAAAGACGCCCAAAGTCCCAAAGCCCGCCATAATCCCAATGCTGGTGTTCTACCTAACTACGTACCTCCAAAAAACCCCGGAATTATGCTGCGATTATTTATAACTTGTATGCATTAAGCATTTATTTCATACTTTTAAAAAGAACACAAAACTGGGCAGCGCCAAATCTAGATTTGGTTCTACACGGCATCAAGAAATAGACTTGGACAATGTGACAATTTTGTCCCGAGTCAAATGTCCCCTTTTACTTTGAGCAGCATCCGTCTTTCACTTTTAGAATAGTTAAGAGTATTTAAACTTGTGCAAAAGTGCAGATCAATATGTAGTGAATTACAGGATTTTTTTTCAAATTGTGATGCATATGGAGAAAATCTGCAAAAGAAGTTTATCTACGACCCCAAAACTTCGCCGATGTGTGCTGACGACAGTACAAGAGGATTTATGGAATGGCTTCAGGGAAATTTCGGCCAATTTTTCTGTTTTCCTTGTGTATGATCGCCCTCACTGTCTTACCTACTTCTACAAGCTCCCCATGAATATTAGAACCTATGGAACAAATGTGTATTCTGAGACAAAAACCGTTGCCAGTTATTAACTTCCTGCAAACTTTGGCCGTCCATTTAATGGTGCAAATTATGTATGTTAAAGGAAAGGTCTGTTTTTCGGAGGGTGCGCGAAGGGCACCTGTTAGTCTGGCTCTGGTCTGGCTTTCTAGAAACACTCAAATCCCATTATTATTCGTGACCAACTGATTTGGGGGATGGATGAGAAAATGAGTTTGAGATTGCTTTTTATATGGCCAATGGCACAGTTGTTAGTACGTAAGGGGCGTAATGAATAACGCTTTGGTCCGTCGAAACCCCAACCCTGACTCAAATCTCATCTTATCCACTATAACGAAGTCCGCCCAACTCCCCAAATAGGCCCTACAGCATCTGTAATCTTCATGCGTTTTGGCCGTTCAGTTCACAATGCACAAAAGCACCTTATTAGAGAAAGTACCTAACTTTAGCCATGTACCAAAAGACAGTTAGAGCTAGCAGTGCCGAATTTACAAATATGTACATTTATTCTGCATTTTCAAATTAAAACGTCTTGTTGCCAGAATTTTTGCTAACACGAAATTCCATTCAATTTCAATTCAATCTCAAGACCTTCTTGTGAACTGGAAGGTATGTGCATCGCCTGGAGACCATCGAAACACGACAGAGCTGAATTCTACTCTCATGATAGGTCTCAGGTCTGATCAAAATAACTATGGTGACATCACAATAGGCGAAGAGACAAAATCAGTTGCGTTAGGGGAGCTCAAAAATGCAATGGCAGTATCCGGTGGGGAGCTCCTAAAAGTAGAAAAAGAACCACCCTGATTTCTACTTCGATTGAGCACCCTCGGGAACCTTGAAAAGTTCAAAGAAAAGTGTTCCAGTGAGCTTGAAGCAAAACTTACCAAAGTTCTCCTTACTGAATACGCCAAGAGATATGCAGGATGGGAGCTAGTCATTCGGCTTACAATCGAGGAAAACGAGTACCGAGAAGGTTGGGAGTTCGTCAAGAACCAGAACAATGCAGGTAATTCAAAAACATCGAGCTGTGGAAGATAAGCAGTTTGCTTAGAATGGTACAACACCTCTTGAATCATTAAAGTTCCAATCACCAGTGGGCTGTCATAATACGTAATGGATACTGTCTAACTTTGTTTCATTTAATTAATCAAGGGTAAAGGGGAGAAAACAACGATTAATTCAGTTTTCTGACTTTTACAGATTGTGTTGTGCCTTTGGAGGTGACGGATGTCAAAAGTGGAGACAGTCTTGATTCAAAAACAAAACAACTCTTTGAAAAGTTGCATTTGGATCCTGACGTCTTTGAAAAATTGACGAATCTTTTCAAAAGTTTCAGGGGGAACTGTACTTCAAATGCGTGTAGGGTCCATACTGCTGGTGGTCCATTTTTGTTATCTCAAACACCTGGAGACATTCAGGGAGAGGTGCCGGTCAGGTGCACTCGCAGCAGAACTCTCAAAACTTCTCCAGACTGTAGATATGAAGACATCTGCAAATTGTGACATAGCCATTCGTGTGACATTCGAGGAGAGCGAGTACAAGAGAGAGCGTTCCTTTTTCAAAGACACCGGAAAACCATTAAACTCAACACCTAATCCAAATCTGTAACATCCCTATTCTAGCACACGCAGAAACCGAACAGGTTTCCAGGTATTTTACGCCAGCCTTATCCATATCACTTTCGACTGCCGGTGTCGTAGCAAAATCATGGGCAGCCTTGCAAACACAGCGATGAGCATATGAATTTCTCTCATAAACCTCAAAATTCAGAGCACTCAAAATCAAATGTAAAGTAGGGAAAGGCTATGTTCTTTACAAACATTTGTTACCTCGTAAACCCATGTGCTCCTGTCCGTTGATGGGAGAGGGCATGGCGGTTTACCGCGGGAGAGGGGCACCGAACAGGCGGACTGACATCATTAATGGTAAGGGAGGGATTCAACTCGGTGTCATCTGGATAAGAACTGACGATTTTCACCACTTCCCGTTTCTTTGCATTTCCCTTTCTTTTTTCCTCCCGTTTATTATATTCCCATTTTCCGAAGGGGGGGTTGAGTGTCCCTACTCAATAAGAGGATTTCCAAATTCGAAAGGCTGTCTGCTTACAATAATTGTTCAAGACACTACTGAAGATGAAACCACACCTCAGTCGCTTCTGAAGCAATACCGCAAGCAAGCCGGAGGAACTGCTCAGATCGTAAGTACCATTCTGATTGGATGAGTACCATACTTGCCCATTAGCCAGTAATATACTACATCACCTACTGGACCGCAGCTTAAAACTCCTTGTTAGTTCTGTAGAGTTTCACTGGCTTTCTAAAGATCGAGCTTCTGTGGCTTGAACACTCTCACTTACATCAGCCCTCAGTTTCCAGGTCTGCAGACGCGAAAAAAGGTAGTTTTGGTTCAAATATTACGTATGACTTGCCATATGACGAAGGTTCAACAGTCCACAAAAGTTCTCTAATGCCGGATGGATTTCTAAACTGTAGCCAATAAGAGAAATGAATGCGTACAGAGGTCTTGAATCGACCAACGTCCTTCCCGAGATGGGCTGCTTCAAAAGACTTTGTCGTCACCTCAATGGTGAGGAGCGATGGAAGAATCTCGTAAAGCATGCCCTTGGCGAAGGCAACGCTTGCAACTTCGAAAAGTATGACTCCCCTTCTGCATACGTGCTAAATGCCACCTTTTACAAGTCGTTGGTCGATGGGACCCCATTAACACCGAAGGGTCTGCATCGCATGCTCCGCGACTGTGAGCTGATTGACGCGGCAGACATCATGGAAGAGTCAGGAGAGGTGAAGAGTGCACATTCTGGGTCAGAGAGCAATGACATAAGCCCTGACAACCGAGAAGCCAAGCTGTGCATTGACGAGTCATTTTACGAAGTTCTTCTGACAAAGCAACAACGTGAAGAAATTCAAAAGGCTTCCGCTTCCGCAATGAGGCCCCAGCCAATGGCAAACATTCTGTTGTAAACAACAAACCCAGACTACCACCCAAGCCCATCTCGCTGTCTTCAATCGGACGCAGTCAATATAAATTATATAAAATTGACGTAGGTGCCTCCTTGGAGGGTTTTAGATAATTTATAAACCCTCCGAGGAAGCACCTACGTCACTTTAACCAACAATACAGGAAATGGCCATCACTGATTCTATAATCTGGACAAAACCAGAAGTTACAATTGACACTGAAATTACCTGCTGCGACCAAATCGCGAGCACTCGTTATCACTTGTTGAAGGTGAGTCTCGTGAGAGATTGTAACTCTCGCTGACTCTTGCAAAAGATCCGCCTTTTTTTCTTGGCCCGGGATTCGACCCACAATCGGACTCTGACAACCGGCTGAACTCGAATTTAAAAACCCTTCATGACTCGATTCCTTGCCTGGGAAAATCCATTTTAGACATTGCAATGACAGTCAATGGTTTTCAAGTTACGAACACGTGTTTGCTTATAATTATTGTTCAAGCAAGGTCTCTTCTTGATTCGCTGGTAAACTTTTCTTTAGGGGCCTTGTTGATACAGTACGGATGCGTATTGCTGCCAACGCAAAAAAAAATTAAACTACTTATTTCATTTAAATGACATCTCATTTCAATGACTTATTAATACATATGCTATTTTGCCAGGTACCTGCATGTATGTCACCCTTTTATAGGCTTACCAAATTTTGCTGAAAATGGGAAATAAAAGCACGATCTACAGGCTTTAGGTAGCTATGCATGAAGCTCAAAATCAAGTTATGCCTCTGACCACTCACACAGATTTTTTTTTGTCTTACTTCAGGTTTAATTTTTCATGACTATTTGAAAGCATCGATAAACACTGATAACCAATATGACACCTTAATACAATACATGTACATGCACATGTATGGCAGCTGATACATTGTAATGTGATACAATACACTTAATCTTAAAAAGTAACAATCGTTACATACACAATTAACATGCAAGTTAATTAAGTTACTGTGCTGTTAACCCATACAGTGTAAATGTGAATAGTACATTCATATTGCAAGATTGATACAGAAAGTATGTAACGTTATGTAATCTATATATACGTTCACACAAAATTGTTTTGTATCTGTTACTTAGGTACAAGTACACTGTATGTGCATCTACAGTATACTGGTCAAAAGTAAAAAATAAACTATTGTTGAAAAAAATACTCGGAGCTCACCGTCTTTTCAATTGAACTGGAGTGAAGGGATGGGCATATTTCCCTCACAAATAAACACAGTTTTGTCAGCCATACTAATGAATTTGATTATAACCGATTGTGATCAACTCAAGTCAAAGTATAGAAGAATATATTTCAGATGTTACCTCTTGTTTAAGCTTTCACAAATGCAACCTTCTTGGTGCATTTTCTGATGCATATTTGCTCTCACACGAAATAAAACCCATGTTTTATACAAACTAACCAAACCTTGATACAAAAGGTTCATCCATCTTTAAAACCTAAACAAATTTGCACATTGTTTTCCAACTGGACAAAATTCTGACATACACTGTATGAATTACGTTTCACTGGCAAAGGACAATATTATGCATCGGTTATTATAGATTTAGTACTTTTAATAATCCATTAATAAATTTACATAAACAAAAATTCCCATTATATGAAAGAAATTATACATGTTAATACCATTAAGGCAAGGATTACACAAGTTAAAAACAATAGAAACAGATTACGTTCAGTTATGAAAATTGTCAGTAAAATAAGATTACATGAGAAAAATGCAGCACCTTTGTTCCTTTCTGCCAATTTATAACTGCATGATATACATGGTGATCAAATGTTAAATAAATATGACAAACCATGGACAAAGAAACCTTTGTTGGGCATCCTAAACATAACAATTTCTTAAATTTGAATTTTTCATTTCCTTTCTTAAAGGCACTTAAAAGATCTCCTTTCCCCAGCTTCATAAATTTTTTTCCACTCATCTCAATGAATGAAGTACTTAAAAATTCTCTACAAAACATAAATTTCAACACTCTAGGAATATTTGCCCAGTAGGCAGGTATAATGATTATTAAAGACACGGCAATTTGGGCATGGATACTTCTGTTCAGTATACAGTACTTCTGAAGTTCTCTCAGTCCGTACTTATTCACTGGTTGCCCAAAACTTTCCCACAACTTGGAAATAAAGTGTCTTCCCTGAAATCCCCTTGAAATACACACCACACCTACCCTGCAACGTTTCATGGCACACAATGTAGTTACAATATCAGTACTCCAATCATCCCAACCCATGATCAATGCTACTGTACTTACCGTACTACATGCCACATACAGAAAAAAGCAGAAGCCTCATTTTCTACCCTTACTGCATCATAAGAGGTGCATCTTCATTGTCCTCCTCAGAAGTGTCGTCATGGCAACTAATCACCTGCTCCTCATCTGTTGCTGGGCGTTGCCCTTTCCTTGGCCAGATACCACGCTGCAGAGTGTTCTTTAGGTTTGTAAAGCTGCTCTCACGCTGGCCCTTCTGCATCTTAGTGGTTGCCATGGCAATGCTAAGGATGGAGGAAGATATGATATCAGCTTGCAGCTAGCAACATCCAAAGGCTGTTTCACTTTTTTAACAGCTGAAACATTTAAACATAAATCTGTACAACTTTATGTGACCTGACCTAAAGCAGTTGATACCTAAACACTACACTACACAGAGATTTGCATGTGGTCATCATCCTATGCACAGATGCTGGTGACTGATTTACCTGTTTTTCCTAAAGTACTGCAGAGGAAGTGCACAGGGCAGCTTACAATCACAATGATGCTCACATGTTCCAATTCCATGTCTTTGGCACACAGGAAATATGGGCAAGTCACAATACAGTGTGCCACCAAGAGATTGCCAAAGAGAGGGTCATTTTTCAAGTTCTGAGTTGACAGATCCATGGCCAACTTACCACAATTTGCAATTGACTGCATGCCAGTGCAAAACTCAAGGAAGTGTTTTACGGATCGAGGCATTCCATTCAGAGGAAAGAATGCAGATTAAAATTAAATTTATACTTGATGTGCACTTACGAGTACTAATGCTCTACCTGAATAAACAAAGATCAGGAATAATTCAAATTCCCCAAATGTAGCCAGCCAATACAATTTGTCAGTCATTTCCCACAAAGCAAAGCAAAAAATGACCACTCCATGGAGACCTCTTGGTGCTGCACTGTACTGTGACTTGCCCATATTGAAGCTACTAACACTTGAACAAACGTAAGTCACTGAGAGGTGGGTTAGTGGTCATCAGAAAAACAAATCGGGCCCAATTAATTATCCTTTGTAAGGGTAGGCCTATTGTATGAATCTCAATGACAATACAGACATTATGATGTCTCGTTTACGTGCGCATTTTCTTACATGTTTGAGGTCCACAATTGCCCATAGGAAAGTGCACATGTAAAGAAACTGTGAATTTATAATATCTTAATGGACCCACTTCTAAAGCAAGAGGTGGGCAAGAGAGATGCATTGCAATGATGCAAACAGATTTAGCTTTGTGTGACTTATTTTTTTTCAATAGAGAGAATTCAAACCTATGGTACATGTACCTTGCATCGTCCTTGGTCTTGTTTCCAGATGTCACCTCCGTGCTAGACTCCCCACCAGCTGTTTGTTTCTTCAAGTGTTTCTGAAAGCTCTCCTTGAGGCTGGTCAAGCTACTGTTGCGTTTACCTTTCAGTTCTTTCTCGGCGGCCTTGCCCTTAGCTTGGATTTCTGGTTTCATGGAATCCTCACTAGGCAACAAAAAGAAGCCCAAAAAAGCTTGACAGAGAGAATCAATTGACTGCAATTCAACTGGAAATAGTGATAGGATACAACATTACTACTTTCTTAGTGCTTACTACTGATTTCAAAATGAACATCTTGAGTTGCAACCATTTTGTACGTAGTGAAAAGCTCAGTTTTGGTAATTACTGTTTGTTTTAATTCCAAAACATCAGCTCTTCTCACATTTAAGTTTGTTAATCGTTCCTTCTTTTGCCAGAGTTGTACATGTGCTGTGGTCAGGCACGAAGGAGTAATTCTTGAAGAGGTCAAATAAAATAATAAGTCAATAGCAAGACAATTTACAAGCTAAATTGCTTGAAATTACAAGGCCATGTACACTTTTAAGTACCCAGAAATAAACAGTGACCAGGGACTGTTGTCATAATAGTCAATTTCACACTTGTCAATCACTGGACTTGGGACTCGTGGATTTTTGATGACATCGATTAAAATATACAGGATTACAACCCTGCATCAACTTCTAACTGGCCAGCCTTTTAAGTGTCAGAACAAAAGTTAGTTAGTGTGGTGCCATCACAGGTAACAACATCTCCTCAGATTTTAAAACAGCTGAAAAAACTGAACATAAACTGGCAAGTCAAGGAGAGCTGGAGCATCATCACATGTTACAATGTACCTGTCCTGCCTGGCAATGGAGTTTGTGATCCCTGTTTCCATGGCTTCCAGTACCCTCATACCCTGTGCCAGCGCGTCCAGCTGTGAGGTCACCCTGTTTATCTCATTTGTCAAGTCACCTGGACTCTGCAATCTACAAGTACAGTTGGTAAAAATACAGAAACTCACTGGTAAAAAGAAAGAAGAAGCCTGACAAAATCCACACTTTCAAATTCCTGGCCGATCGTGAATTTTGCCCAAAACAGCTGAGAACGAGTGACAGGCACTTTGCTTTAGGCGTGACATTAGAGATGAGGGTGTGAGACACTTCAGTCCATAGGATCTCGCCTGTCAATATTTCAAAATTGCCATAGGTCATTTTAAACTGACTAGAAGATAGTGGTTGACTCTCTCTAGATTGAGACCCCAAGGGCATGTGTACAGGCAATACAAAATCATGCCAACCTTCACTGAATCTTTGGCAGGCAATATTTTTCCAAATGTTCAGGTAAGGGGCAAAGACAAGGTCTTCAATATGTCAAACAAAAGAAAGGTTGCTGCGTCGCACTTATAACAGAAGCACTGCCAGCAACTGTACATCGGCGAGACCAAACGGAGATTAGGGAACTCTTGTATAAAGTATTAGGCATCCTGAATTTGCAGAATGATTTGTTCCTCACCTCCTCGGCAACTGCCTCTGAGAAGTACGCAATGCGGTCCTTTTCGGGGTCGGAGTGCGCTTGGCAATTCTCTCCGACCTCCTGACTCCATCCACAGGGGTGCAGGGCGTCTGCACCACCACCGGGTCCCGATAGCGACACATGCTCCTGGGTGTGCGGACGGCAGACAAAGGCAGAGGGGAATTCATCAGGCAGAGGACGCCCTCGGGTGTCCGTGGGGTGACAGAGACAGTCAGGTCGAGAAGATGGCGTCTGGCTCCTCTGCCATTGGTTCTCCTGCCAGAAGGCTTCATTTTCTATTGCAGCATTAAAAGTAAAATTGAAAACTGCTGTCAATTATTAAATGAAAATCTCTCTTCACTGAGGCATATATTTGACTGTGAACTAGTCCCAAAAATGCTTAAATTGCTTTTTTATCAGCATGGGAACTGAACGTATACACTGAGTGTTTTTGAACGTTGAAATTTCTGTGATAACTTTAATCTGCTTCCATGATTATGTGTACATGTTTTCACATGAAAATTCAAAGGGAGTGTACATGAGAACACGTGATTTCAGATTTTTATTTGTCTTAAAAACAAATCCTCCATTGAAATAATTAGAAGACAAAGAAAACATCTGCAGTGTAGATGATGAATATTCCGATGGGAGCAATGTCACAACCGCTCTGGCTGGCATGCTGGAAACAAAATTGAAAAAATTAAAAAGGGAGATAAAAGAAGTAAAAGAAATGAAAGAGAGGAAAAGGGACAAAATCACCAAATTTTTAAAACAGCTCAAAACTTTAGTCAAAAGTATCCACCCTTCCACTGCCAATGATTTGTCAGTGATCTGATGTTGATGAGGCTCTGGCTTTGCTCTGGTCCCCCCCCCCAAAAAAAGTCCTGGCGATGATATTTTAGTGGCATATGGCTAGTACAAACCTAAAACAATCAGTTCAGGGCAAAACAAAGGGGAAGAGTTCCATATACGGATGCTAGTAATTCTTCCCTACAGAGACTTAATAGCCATCAGAAAGCAAAAACATGTCCAGAAAAGTCCCATTTAGGAGGGAAAATACCAACTCATTTGCTGAGAAAACAGAATTTTTCAGGCCAGTCTCGTAGGGTTTGTGCACAGTGTGTCAACATGGTCAAGTTTTTCCAAACAAAGAAATCAAATACTTCAATAACAATAGCAACACATACATGCACAGCAGTAGGCAGTAGTACCAAAAAATCCTGGATCTGTCCCCAACATTTTTAGCATGGAGGTAGAAATAGGCTTTCCTACCTAGTACATGGAGGAACCCTTCCTCCATGCTTAGTACTAGTAGGCCTAGGCTATTCACATGTAGTAGCCATATGCCTTGCGGCCTTCTTTCGCTTCGTTTCAGAAAATGGTCAACATGGTCATTTAGATTCTTAATTCTACACGTAGGACTACGGAAGGTACAGCTTTCCAAAATTTTACAAGGAGGCCTACTTACCGCTTTGAATGTACCCCATGCCCGTTTGACAGTCCGTAACTGGCGGCCAGCTTTTGACTCTAAACTCGGTACCAACCCCGTCAAGCCCACGTTCAGCGGCACTGGATTAAGTACAGATCTCCCGCCGATCAAGCCCTCCTCACAGCTTGATGAGAACCGAGCAGTGACCGGAGACCCAAGGGCTACATTCTCAGCGTCTTTGTGCCTCCTTTGGCGCAAGACCATCGAGTGCGAGGGAGTATTGCAGACCAGATTTGCTTCCTCCATGACGCCTTGTTTGCGCTTTTTGGGAGCAGTACGGTTGTCGTATTTCGCGCGCTGGAAATTTACCCGCTGCAAACAAAAACAAGCGGGGGCGCTGCAGTGCGCTAGCTAGCTGTGGCAGAAGTGTAACATAAACTTGCATAATGTCCCTGGGCAATTTTCGGTGGAAAAAACCCCAAAAGCCGTTCTACCCGGCAAGTTTAGTATTTATTGAGGTATTTTTTTTTAAATTACATAAACTTCTGTGATGTAATCACACAGCATGAACAAAAACGCTTTTTAATTGAGATCCAATCAGATTGAGAAGAGTGCAAAATGTACTGTTCAAGTCTGGGTTTGATTTAATCTTTAAATGTAGCGCGTAAAACACTTTTCAACAGATCGGCCACACTGCAGTGCGACAGCGTGCAGGTGGGCGTCCGGTTTCAAGGTATTTTGCCTGCGCAACAGGTTGGCACGTCACGCTGGTCATTGTTCCGATGAAAAGCCGACATTTGAGTCAACCGCTTTCGTTTCTCACGTGGGTTTGCCACTCATCGATTGTGACGTAGTGGTGATCGACCTGCTGGGTTCTCCTATCCAGCGCTACAAACGCCGGTTGTTGGCCTGCAGGCTGCGCTCGGCCCGAAGTATGCACTTGTGGTTGACCACGGAGATAGTGGCACTGGTAGCTTGACTTACACTCACGAGTGATTGATTGATTGACTGACTATCGGACACTTTTTAGTTTTGCCCTGTTAGATGTTGCATGGTTGTTGAACAACTCAATTCAGAACTTGCATAAGACTTTGTAATCAACCGAACCGCCGACAGAGCCGGTGAACAATGGCGAGAGTCAGCAACGCCCCTGCTTGGAGTATCTTGGCCAATTTTCTCATCGTTGTCGTGTGTGAGTATTCTCGTATTTTGTTTGGAAACCGGTTTGTGACGTTTGTACTTTTTTTTGGGGGGGGGAGGAATTGAAGAAATCGTGTCTCGGGTAGAGCAGGCTACCGTAAGTACATGCAAGTAATTGTGGTAACAGTATAGTATCTAGGTTACAAAGTTCTTCATGTTTTGCAAAACAGTTCTGACCCAATTGTGTTTTTTTATTTATAATAATAAAGCTCTAGAAATGAAAACAAACTGGTTAACTTTCAAGCTTTTTGATTTGTTTACTTCAACAAAAGTTGGAAGTGTCAGCATTAGTGATCTTTGTCCTAAAAAAGTCAAGTTCTGTGTCGTGTTCTCTCAAGTCAAGTCACAAAATAAGGCCCACTTATAAAGTTGTACCATAGGGCAAGGAACGGTTCGGGAAGAACTCCAGACCAACAGCAACACAGTTTTTGAGTGCCATAAAAACCAAAAGTTGTGAAGGGGGGTGCCTACCATTTTCTTGAACTGGTGTTCAGTACCTAAGGGATCCAGGTAAAAAAGTTAATTGAAGATGTATAGAATGAATGAAATTGTTTTGGAAATTATTGTTAGTTGTTAGTAAAACTCCAAAACTCTATTACATGTATATGTTGGGTTGACTGCAGTACTGTTGTGTCCAATTCCATACATCTAGTTACACCGTAATTTACCAATGGTGAGATAATATAAGTTTGTCAAAGGTCATTTCAGTTAAAACTTTGTTCCTGCAATAAGTTTTAGCCTTGTGAAATGACAGCCAAATGTCATGAGCGTACATGTATTGTATGCTACATGAGTGCATAGCTACTATGTGGATCAGGAAGGATGTGAACAACTTCCGAGATCTTTCAACAGGAATGTCCTGTTCTCTTTCATTGATTGTTTACAACTGATTGTACAGTTGGGTAGTTGTCAAGGATGACCCAGTGTACTCTGTACCACTATCGCCCCGGAAGTGGAAAATTCTCCCTTGGAAGTCAAAGTACATGTACACATCCATTGTAACCACTGCTTTCACTGCTTAATACATCTCCATGCATATTGTTCCTTTTTGTAGCGGGTGGTGTAACTTAGGGGGAATCACAAACAATGTTGTCGGCCTTTTCACACTATCTGTACCCGTAGATAGAGAACTTGTATCTATAGTTTTGACCCACTTGCAGTGATGATTACAATGAAGTGTGACTGCTTGAATACATGTAGTTTGACAGAAAGTTTTAAATTAACTTGAACTTTGTGATTATTCAATGCAAGGAAAGTACCCCGAATGCATTGTTATGGTCCATTAGAGATGTACATGTACGTATATCTGTACATACGTCCAGGTGCATGCACATGTATGCACCAGTGCCTGATGAAAGGCATGTCGGAGTGTTCCACAGATAAAAAAAGTGCAGCCAAATTTAGATGGCCACACCCATACACTTGACTTTTTGAAAGGTTCCAAATAAATGTTAAGAGTCGGAGCATTCCCTCCTCGTTCAGCAGACTTCCTTCTCTCTCTTCCTGATTTCACTGAGGAAATGAAAATGACTAATCCCCGCCATGCATATCCCTGTTGATACTAGTATTTGGTGGGGGAAGGGGAAAAGAAATCGTACAGGTGCATGTATAGTGTACATGTACATATAGCTGCCTTGCCTGGGACACGCTTCTGTGGAACTCACTGAGTCTTTTCCCTGTCTCTAGGCCTATATTCATGGCATGTAGGTCACACACCTTGGACTAATTATAGATGATCTGGTAACTGGCCTAAAGGACTGCATTAGAGAGTGCCAGTGCATTGAGGCATTGCTCAGAAACACACCGGTGGCCAGTCAATGCACACTGCAATTTACATGTACCGGTACCTGATGTGCATGTAAATTGTAGGGTCGTGTATGAGATTGAATGTTTTGCAGTGGCAAAACACCACGGAACGCATTCATAGTCCTTAATTTGCAGAGCTCAAAAAAGTAAAAACTATTGTTGAAAAGCATATATACGGTTCATGTACTTGGTCTAAAGATACTTATGGGATAAGTACATGTACATTGTGATGATATTCCAAGAACAGGATCCAAACAATTACTTTGTGCACCAAAACATGCTGCAGTTTTAATTTCTTCACATCCTACCCTCTCTCTGTTGATTCTTGGTTGTATAGGGACCCAGCAATAAGGCAGCAAACAACCCTTTCTCAGAAATGTTTTCAAACTAAGAGCAAATTTAATTTTAGGGCGTTATTGTATTGAGGTCAGTGGAGGGAAACATTTCCTTTTAGTGGGGTTTCCTGTTCAGATTGTGAGCCCCAACTTTGCTCATGAAAACCATTTTTGAAAAAAAGGTTTTCTGGCAGGTCTGCTGCCACGAACTGAAATAATAAAGCTCGAAAGTAAAGAAGATTCATCACTGCAAAGTATTTTAACTTCTGACACATTAAAGTGCAAAAATAGATGTAACATTGAGGTTTCTGCCCTGGATGGCATCACACTTTTCTCATCAATATATGCAGATTAGCATATTAAAGTAAAAATCTGAAAGGTGCCAAAGTGCTCTTATAGCAGTGCAAAGAAAATTATTATCAGGTTGAAGTGGACATAAAGGAGCATTTTCAAGAACTGCATCAAAAAATTCAAGTTGCATGGGGCCTTTAAACTTCAGGTGCTCACAGACTTTTACATACAGCCCTCAAGATCCCACACGTCCAAGAAGAGGTGATTAATACCCGCACACCACCTGTGTGCAAGGATGGTATATTGCCTGTTTTACAGCGGATCACAACTGATCTTCACCCAGGATTGTTTTGCCTGTTAAAGCAGGTTCCTGCTGATCCTCGGTGTGTCCTGGAGCTCGGCGAGTTTCTGCTTGCCAGACAGCACCACCAAGTGGAAATCACCCAAGGGTGTCGGCGTCTGAGTCTGTTCCCTTTTTTAGTTATGAGGTCTGTCTGCTTGCGAAATAAGGGCAGGAGCAGAGGAAGCAGGTTTTAATGGAAGATATCCATTGATGGCCCAGGATATTGATTTAAATTGATCTTAATGCCATGCTATTTATAAATTTGACTCGAGCACTGTGTGTCAACCTAATTTAATTAGGTTGGATACCCCAAAAAAGCCTGCAAAGTATAGGAATTACCTTTTGTACTGTAAAATAATAATGACTCCATTCTAAATTTAAAAATCAGTAGTTTTTGTAACTGGTCTGAGTTTGATCAGCTTGCGTGTACATGTACAAGGTTGTTGTGTATATTTTGGGGATAAGTCAGAGTCCGTTTTGCAGTGGAAGTCGGTGAGGGGTAGGCTGCTGTTTGTTTTATCTGAACAGTGTTTGAACTGCATGTTGGACCTTGGATGGAACAGAGTGTTTATTTGAATTTTATGGTCATCCTTCTGATGAGTGGTCAAACAGTCCAGCAGCAGAAATGATGCCTGTAGTGTGATGGACCTGCCGGCACACCAGTGTATCAATCTTGACTCTGCACTCTCATCGCTGGTGCCAGGAAACTCCAAAGCTTGCTCTCTGTGTAGCTAGGCGTCAAGTCGAGTTGCACATCCACTGTGTAGTGAAGGCCTTTCCCTGGGGGCTCCCTCCGCTTTTTTTCCTTTTTCTTTTGTTTTGGAATTGAAACAGAGTCACTACTAGCCCCAAATTCCTTTGGAGGGAAGGGAAATTTCTTTATGGCTTAAAAGAACTTTACAATCATTTCAGACACAATTCCTCCCTCAACTCAAAATCTAGAAAAACTCCCCTTTTACAATATATGTAAATATACATGTATTTATATTGTACATACAATGTACATGTACACCGTAGAGCTGAGTTGGAATTCACAAACTAATGTTCATGTATGTATGTGTTTTTCTAAATATTCTCTTTGACTCTGAAGGATGTGGTATGTTTGCTCACAGTTTGGGATGTTGCTTGCAGTACCGAATGTTTCACGCCCGTTTTAATTTTATTTTTCATTTAATCTGTACTCTCACAGGACAGTCAACATTATATCTTTACATCACTCAGATTGGAAAAAGAGACCAGCAAGGAATTAATTTATATTGTATATACCTGTAACTTCCACTTCTTCACAAAAGTGATTATTGAGGGTGGCCAAAGTTTAGCATATGGTACTACAAGTGGACCTGTAACAGGAGAAAGCAAACACGATAACTACAAAAATTCTATAGTACCAGTCAGCTGTTTTGTAATGTAGGACCCCTGTTGATCCTGTTTGAAAACCCTCTGTACGGATAAAATACGCTTTGCACACGAGAACATCACACTTATGTGTCGATGCATGGCATGATACTGCACATTGTGCAGAAAATCAGAATCATGTCACTGCTGAAGTGTAGGAAAAGGGACCCTAGATTTGGTGAAAAATTTATCTGGGAAATGCATTACTCTACATGTATAGCCCCAGAACTGTGGGGTTCAATTTCCGCCCCTCTCCCACAAACGGAGCGGGGGCGGGGTGGACGTCAGATCCCACAGTTTTGGGAGTACTACGTGTATTTTGGACAAAAAATGCAGTTTTTGAATAAGGAAAAATTTTCAAAGTCCAACCAGATACAAAAATCTGGTCAGGCAGCAATGTAAACCTAAAATTAATTTCAATAGGCCATACCAGCATAGGCCTACATACATTGTATGCACATGTATACATGAGTACCTTTGGTTTATTTCTTCTCTAAACCTCTGCAGGACCTAAACGGTAAGGCTAATTAATTCCCCTGATGTGTGCATAGACATTCAAAAAACTTCAGCCAAATAAATGATGAATAAAATACCCCACTTGAATTTACCCAAAGCAAAGGGAGTGCAATTGGCAACTGGAGAAAAATTAATCAGCAACCTACATACATGTACATGTAGGACCTGTACTAGTTTCATGTACATGTACACTGTTCATGTACGTATTCAAATAACCTGTACTATGGAAGACTTTGCCATGTACATGTACATCCTATACATGTGTACATGTATGTATCTTTTTTCACAGGCTTAGAAACCTCACATTTACCTACTTGTAGCTTCAGTTTCAAGCAAGCCAGAGACTGGATATAGGCTGCATGTATACAGTGTACATGTACATGTATGTCTTCATCTCCAGTATGGCCGGGTCATGCACCTACATGTACTTTTACATGTTCATGTGCTGGTGTACCTGTGCTTGAAAAAAATGTGCTACACCTGTCAGTGTGTAGAAAGTCTTGTCTATCCTATATTCATGGCAGCTGTCCTTGACTTCTTGAGCAGGGTTTTCTGGCAGGGATTGAACCACTTTAACTCGGAGGTCCTCAGCTACAAGTTGGCCTCCCATTGATAGGACAAAAACCCTGTTTATGGCCATGGGCTTTTAAACTTTTGACCATTTTTACGTTCTCCCAGAATGAGACATGTCAGTATGCTGCATGTACCAAGTACTAGCTGGTACTTGTATATTATACGAGGAAATTTGAATTGCAGTCTTGATTAAGTTTTTCTGTGCACCTATTACATACAGCATGTACCTTCAGTCCTTTGCTGCGTATTCCCTCACATGAATATTTAAATAGCGGCCTAAATGACTTTACCGATTTCCTATGCTACGGTGTAGGAAAAGTCATATCTCCATGTCTCCAAAACTGAAAATCTAGGGTTGCACTTTATGCATCACGTTCTGATGAGGCATGTGGCCTAGTGGTTAGGGTTTATAGCTTCTGATCATAGGGTCAGGTGTTCGGATCCAGCTGGTGGCAGCTTGTTGTGATCCTGGGCAAGTCACTTTACTCCTATGTGCCTCTCTCCACCCAGGAATAAATGGGTACCCATGATGAGGGCAGACACAGTTATGTTAAACCGTTTGCGCTGACATGGCAGCACTGGGCTAGTATACTCCCCAGGGAGCTGAGATGGTTTCAGGAATGCTCATAGATGTGTGAGCCTGATGTGCAGGGATGATCATGGCGCTTTGGAACGTAGTGGAAAGCACATTACGAATGTTGTAATTATGTACATTATTATTATTGTACATTTTGCCTTCCATTTGAAATAAAATTATAGTTTCAATACAGATTCACTTTTGGTTGTCAGCAGTGCCTTCTTTTTTTATTACTTACGTGCCACATACTCAGCTGGAAATAGCCCATAGATGTCTATCAATTTGGTATCAATGGTATCCCTTGGAAGAAGAAATCTGTAGAGAGAAGACATCAAAACAACACTACACTTCACTTCAGACACCAAATGAAGTCTTTTTCAAGTTTTTGATATTGTGACACCTATCTTCTCCAGTGTGTTTCCATCCCCTCACCTCACAAAAAAAGATGCGAGCAAATATGCACAATGTATGCTGGTACTGTTCATTTTAAATGTAAAATTTTTAAAAGATACTGATTGGGTTGATGATGCTTTTTATACATGTAACACCTCATTACGTCTTTGCTTTTAACTCAAACACATGTGCAGTACGTATGTTCAACCCACTATCCAAGCACTCCCGCATGTTTTGATAACCCCTAACCAGAAACATGTTTGTGACATCAAAGCAATAATCAGCAACTTAAGGATGGCCCACAAAAACAAAGAACCAAAAATGGTTACGTCATCAGACTGAGGTAAGCGCATGGAAGCGGACGAGTCAGGACGTTGATGAACATCATTTTCACTAAATATTCGGCATGTTTCTCATTGATGCTGCTCTTGTTTCATGTATTTTCCAAAAGAAAGTTTGATCTGCTCATGCCACAACAAATAAAATGTATAACTCACTCATTTTAGGGTCAACAAAAATTGTCTATTTTCCTTCATTTTGAACCCGCACTGAACCATTTCCAACCTTTGATTCCCTCAGTTGGAGCAGTGATGACACAGAGGCAAAACCAAGTTGTGAAAATGCTTAACCAGTGACCAAAGCTGAAACAAGTTCATAGTTCGGGTCATCAAAACATTCCACAGATTTTTGTTTACACCACATTTCATAAAAAGGGTGCATATAGCGCCGTCAGTATCTCCATTGAAATCAAATTATAATGGTTAAGTAGAGATGGTCTAGGGAGCAGACTAGAAAGTGACAGAAACTTAATTTTGATAGCCTGTGTTTTCTGGGGCATATCTCTTGATTGTCAAAAGCAAATAAGATTAAGCAAGTCCCATCATATAGTGGGATATACACATACCTGTGCAGATTCAAACAATACATAGTGTGCATTTTGGAGTCGGGTGATATTATGTAATACCAATAGGTTGTTGGCCATAGGATTTAAAAGGAAGGTATCGTGATGAAGTCAGTTCTAGCGAGTATGCAGCGTGAACAACACTATTTTAAAATTAATTTTAATGGGAAACTACAGTAACAGGAAAAAAGGATATCAAGTCCAACACTTTCGTGGAGGAAAGTGCTGTTTAGGGGCACAGGTTTTCTCTGTCTGTTCCTGGACGTTGCTTTTTTTGATAATTACTATGTCATATTCATAACATACTACAGATGAAAGATGTGAGATTTAGTACTTCTTAGTAAAATTCATTCACATTAATGTACATGTAATCAATATTACAATGTAATCTTATACTGTATGTAATTCAAGGTTAAACCATCTTGGCCATCAGTAATAAATTAAGATAGGTGGCACTCACAGTGCTCAGCTGTCACCAATAAATTTAAAAGATGAAATTAATAGTTGTTCATGATGAACGAATAAATAAGATGAAAATAAAGGCATCAAACCAGGAGTGCTTATGATTTATTAGTATCATTTCATTCTGAGAAATTCTTATCTGATTTCTGTCTTTCTTTTTGTTTTTAGGTTCCTTGCCGGGAATCCTTCTCGAATTTGCAGTCAAGTCTCCCTCAGCACCCTTTCAACGGGGCCTCTTCTGCAATGATGAAAGCCTACGCTATCCCTTCAAGCAGAGCACCATCAGTAATTCACTTGCTGTTCTTCTGTGTCTTGGAGTTCCATTAATTGGTGTAAGCATGGATCCATTTTTGGGGGGGGGTCAAAATAAAAGAGTTTGGGCTGCCGCTTGTGGCTGTTTCTCTGGGCCTGTCCATTAACTCAGCGTTGGCATTCAGATAAGGTTGCAGAGTTATTCTCTTTTTGTTTCATGGGTCAACAGCAACTACTTTTGCCGATTGTTCCAACTCTCTGAAATTTGGTAAGCATTCCCAAATGATGGATGTGGAGTCGTCGATCTACATGTTGTGGTAAATCTGTACATCACCACATGTGTAGTATGATTGCCCAAATAACTCAAATTTAGTTGAGTTGTTACCCCAAATGTAAAGCTGCACGTGAGTCTTGAGAATATCACGTTCATAGTCCATGTCTGAGGCAAGGACTACGTTATGTTGGTACAGTCCCATGAACGTGAGAAAGAAATGTCTCCTTCGTTTTCTCCTACAGTATGTCTTGTGTCACTGCACATTTGTGTAAAATTGACATGCATTTCACATGTACGCTACTGATTTTATTTTGACATTTCTTCGATATTTTTGTTTGGTTGTTCAGATGTTGATAGTGGAGTGGCTTCTCTTCAGACGGTACAAAGCCCTCGGGGAGCTGGCCCGCAATGTTCCCATGTACCACGGCATTAAGATCCTCAGCCTAAAGGTCCACAGTTACGTCGTATCCATCTTCTCCACCTATATCCCCTTCCTCTTTGCCGCCACGGTTACGCTGTCACTCACCAACTGCCTCAAGTACGTCATAGGCCGGTTACGGCCTCATTTCCTGACTGTGTGCCAACCCAACCTGACAGCTCTGCCTTGCCTTGATGCGGACGGATACCAGACCTACATGCAGGACATCCAGTGCAATCCCCGAGCTGACCCATACTATCTCCTGGATGCCAGGTAGGTGATTTGCTGAGTAGATAGGAAGTGTAGGCTACATGCATGTGCAGTATTCGGCTGTTCTGATAGACACCGCACACTTTACCATATGTGACATTTGGTTCAGTCTGTGAAGTTGAGTTGTTTGTGACATACCGACACATTTGTAGAGGATGTACCTCCATACGATCAGTTCCTTCAGAGTAACTGAATTTTTATTGGTTTTTATTTGTATGTAGGCCCGCATTGCATTAAGGGGAAAATTTCTTTTGTTTGGAAAGCTGGACCAAGTTGTGGGGATATCTATTTGTTCCCATTACATTTTTGGTCTCCACAGATTTGGTGTCATGTGGCGTGTATGTCCCCACAACTACATGTGAACACAAACACACTCAGGGTTGGGGAACCATCTTTTGACGGACACAATTACGTTTACAGCACACTCAAAGAAGTCTTAAAGCACGGGTCTCCTCCTTTTGGATTAATCAAGGTCCTGTAAAATTGTCAAAACCTGACACTAATAGGGACAGGAATTCTCCTTGGATTTTAAGTTTGTATTTTGCATGGAATTTCAAACTGAGAAAAAAACTATGAAAAAAGGTCTATGTACATGTATGTGGACATTGTGCCATTCTAATTACATGTACCTTGTGTTTGTGTTGATTTTTTTACAGTACGTACTTTGTGTAACATACAAAATGCAGTGTTCCCTGGGACTTACTCTACAATATGGCTACAATTGGGCGTTTCTTATTCTGACTTTAATTAGTTCCTGTGTATTTCCTGAGGGAAACCCCAATCACAAGTTTCTTCGTAGCTGACGTGCAGTAAGACCCTTTTTATTCCTTTCATTTTCCAGGTTATCTTTCCCATCAGGCCATGCATCGGGTGCTGCCTGCGGTTTCGTCTACTTTGCAGTGAGTAACAGGGAAATACCAACCAAATGGCAAAACACATACAGAGACGATGAAAAAATGCATGCACCTACACTTTGGGAGTGGCCATGCGGAGAATTGAAAACTGGATAATCCCTCTGTCTCGCTGGCTGCGACAAAAGTGTGACTACAGTCCAAGCATAGTTTTGGTGTAGCCCAGCATATCAGCTCCCCATGTGTATGACGCATGCCACATGTTGCAGAAACATTTCATTGGCTGAGAGTTATTGTTTTGCATAATTTGTGCAAAATTTCTTCTTTGGAATGCTTTAAGATCACCAGGTATGGCAACAAGGGACGGGGGTGCCTGGGTAAGACAAAGTGGAGTGATTCAGATAACCAAGTGAGAAAATTTTCCACCGTGCCAGATTGCTGGCCCACGTCTTTAAGGTTAACAGAAATAGGAAGCATTTAGGTCACATAAAGTATTTCAAAATAACAAATACGTAACCATTTCAAAAACATTATAAATTCAACGTTTACCCCATTAATCGTGACCCCAAAATGAATAAAAAGATCCTGCATTTCCCCACCCACAAAAAATCCTTTTTGGCCGTTCGCGCTCCAGGTTGATTTGATGACGTCATCGGCAGAAGGCCTAAATGTACAGACTTGAACAAGTACATTGCAGGATTGCACACAGTACATGCAGTTTCACACTCTTGCAATAGACCACGTTGTGTTCAATGTACCTTGGCAAGCAGGCAAACACTGTAGGACTATGTCTTTTAATCTTTCTACCTTGAACCGAGACAGTATTGGCCAAAAGGGATTTTTTGTTGGCCGGGAAATGCAGGATCTTTTTATTCATTCTGGGGTCACGATTAATGAGGTAAAAATTGAATTTATGGTTTTGAAATGGTTATGTATTTATTGTTTTTTTTTAATACTTCATGTAAATTAAATGTTTTCTATTTCTGTTTAACCTTTAAGTACATGTACGTGACAAGCTTACTTGCATCTGTATGCTTCTGTTCTGTACAGTATTTTACTATTCACTGTTGATAAAATGAATTCTTTTGAAAGAATTTCCTCAATTTATTTTCTTTACCAGCCGTTTCTTTTGCAATACAATTCTCAAGGCCATTGCCAGCCATTCTGAATTTGGCATTCATGAACATGTCTACAAAGTACATGTATGTTAAAGGTACAGTCCCTCATTTGCGCATCATGTTCCTTTGAGGCAAGAAAGTTGCACGAAATCTAAAGGTTGCCTACGAGCAAACCTAACGAGTTTCAGGCCAGTGAACATTGTACATTCTGAGAAAAACAGTAGTTTAGGATTTTTGTTTCAGATCAAAGAGTACTGAGTCACGTTTTGAAGGGTCCCTGAATTCAGCACCGTGGTTATGTTCTAAAGTTAAGTTCAGTGATGGCACACACTGAACCAACAAGTTATATTAACTTTGCACTCATGTTGTGTCAATGTTTGCACGCTTCTAACAATCCCAAAAATGCATCTTGAGAACCATCTTTGGAAAAGGCTGTTTGTTTTTGTTTTGTTTTGTTTTTTTATTTAAATTTTTTGTTCAAAGTGACAGCTTGCCCCCAAAAATAATTTCACAGTATGCTTGCAAACATTAGTGTCGTCCCTTACTTTTTAGGAAACTGTAAATGATGGACTGTGTAACCTTTACTGCAGAGACAGCAATTTCATCTTGTATAGACTTTATTATGTTGCTGCATCCCCAAAGTCAAAATAGGAAGAGTGTTGAAGTGTCAGAGTAGCTACAGGATTTCTTGTAATGCTCAGTGACATCTCTCCTACAGTTTGGGTTCAGAATTTGATCAGGGGACCCCTAAACTTTACAGAGTCTGCACCTGCAAGGATAAGTGAGAAAGGGATATCTCACACAAATTGTTTTGAGTGGAAAATTCATGCCATTGTTCGGCAAAGTACAGAACAGGTAGATGGTAAACAAAAAAACCAGGAAATATAACTTGCAAAAAAGGTTCTGGGTAAATGTAAAATTCAGGTCCTCTGTTACTAGTACGCACGAGAGTTGATGGCAGACAAAAGAATGGAAATAATATATAATGTACGTGTACATCTGTCATTTATGTACATGTATGAATCATGAATGCAGAAGTTGGGACTGGTTTTGCACCACACAAATGCTGAGTGTGCATGTACATGACAGTGAGATTTGAGCCACATGATTGAGGTGAAATATGAGACTCACCATGCTGCGACTTTGATCAGAAAACAGTTTGCACTTTCTGATAATTCTAAACAGATTTATAAATCATGTCAACAATTGCAAAAATAAGTTTGGAACGGTCTTCGCAGGGCATATTTATGGAAAAGTCTTAGTGAGCCAGATCTTTGTGATCACCATTGAAACAGCATGTTTCACCTCGCAGTTAAATGTTTACTCCTACTTTTCGTGATTCTTTCAACACCTGGTTGCGTGTGCGTGTACATGTACCCAATTCTTTAAAAGTCTAATAACTGATTTCGAAATCTGTCGAAAATGTCCTATGACTACAACTTGTTTGCATGTTTCTAAGGCATTCATTGCATGGGCTGTGCTTGACTGTGTGTCGTGCGTGAGTTTGTACATCATAGGCAAAACTGAAACCACTCCAGAAGTATACATGTCCTTGTGGTAATTGTGTTTCGCATGTATTCTGTTGACAGTATCGGTCAAAAAGACTAGCAGTGGCAGCTGGCTACATTTTATAGTTGACTTTTGACTACCTGAACTTTATTCCCCAAAGCTTCTGCAAGTCCGCCAAAACTATGAGGAAATTCACATGAATTCTTCGTCAAACAGCATGTGCATGTATATGCACACCACATTGCACACAATCTGTATATTCAAATCATCATTATATTGATTCAGTTTATAAAGAACTAGTCCCAAAACAGAAAAAAACGAATCAACAAAAATTCAAAATTTCAAATCTAGTGTACAGTTTAGGAAATAAAAGTTGCAGTGCATGAAAAATCTACATAGGCATAATGAATAAACTCTGCCATTCTTTGCAGTAAATGTACATCGTCATTTATGAATATTGTATGATGACACAAATATCACACCTGATTGTAAATGTCACAGAGTCTGCCGGGTCATGTTTCTAGGAAACGGGGGGGGGGGTGTGCACGATGTTTTATTCCTCTGTAGATAAATGGCTTTAACTAATGGGCTTCAGATATGGCATGCTGATGTGTTATTGCATATTACAGTGAGAAACAGACTATAAAATGCTGGGCAGGCTATTCCTTCATGCTGACCCCGAGCAAAGCAAGCAAAACATAACAGAAAAATCAAACTGAATAGTGGCTTTACAAGAAAACAGAGAAATGAAGACAGGTGACAAGGAAGGAAGGAAGCTCTTCATAGGATGCAGAATATGAAGCTCATCTTACAGTAGACCTTTGTACCTGTGATGTCACGATTGTGCTGGACCTATGATGTGTTGTTATGGTAATAAGTGCATAGTGTTGTGATGGTAATCTGCCTATTCAAGACAAACTAGTCAAGCATGCAGCTGCCCTTAGGAATATATGCAATCACCATACGTGAAGGTATTGTTTACATTTAGTGCAATACAGTCACTTGGGTGAAAGGGGTCTATTGAGAAATGTGAGAGAAAATTTTTAGAAAATAGATATGTATGAGTAATCAGGTAACTGAAAAAACTTTGTGTCAAACGATAAAGAAAATGACGGGTACAGGAGACTTGAAATAGGTCAAAGAAACAAAAAAGAGATGTGGTAATTGACAATTATAATTTGTAACAAGATGGAAATTAGCAAAGAGCAATTAAAAGAAAAACATAAGACAAATGTAATTATAACATGTAATTTAAAACATAAAAATACATGAAAGGAAGATTAAAGAAAATGCCAAAACAAGCAAAACCCAAACTGAAAAAATATGGAAATTTCAATAAAGGACCCTTTAAAACCCTAAAAGGACAAAGGGGTGGATTCTGCTGCATTTCTGACATTGCTATCGGTGCATTTAGGTCACACACTAAGGCCTCCAGTCTTTTCTCAATAACTTCTTGCTGTTATTTTGACTCCAATTTGGCTTACATCGCACAGCATCTGTTTTTCAGAGACAGGTTGCCCAAAAATTAATTCCTTTTTGCTGACGTGCTCAATGCACCCGTGTGACCTTCATCTGCAAATGACTAACAACAAAACCGTGTGTCGGAATGAGTTGAAACTTCATATTTGTACTTGTAATGAGCTTCTCTACGGTGCATGCCAAATTTTTTAAAAATTGGGCATGGACAGCGAAGTTGTGAGGCTGTGAGATGGTCTGAAATAACCTGGCTCCTTCGAGTTTAAAACTCAAGTTGTACGCTTTGCAACAATAAAGAAAGGAATAGACATATGGAAAACACAAAACAGGTGCATGTACAGCAAATGCAAAACCTTTAAAAAAAGGTACCAAAGAAAAGGATGGTATGAAAATGTTACAACGGGGAAGAAATAAAAGGATTTAGTACGAATAATCATTTCTCACTGTAACAGAAAGTCCAGTAACAAAATTTACAAACAAAAATGAAACCCTTGTTGCTGAAAATGTTGCATAGCCTTGAGTAAAGTTTTGGGTTTCTTAAAATCAAACACAAGGTGGCCTGGTGATATTGACTTCTGGATTGATGACAACACACGACTGTGGCGTCTGAACCCAAAAGCTTCAGTGGAATCCAACAAGAAATAATAAATCCCCCAAGCACCTACAGCGTAATTACAAAAACAGAAACTTGTCGATTGCAGATACGTGTGGTACATGTAATTTAATAAGCTCAATTCTATAACAGTAACAGAACCAGGTTGGCTGAACTTTCTACCAGTGAAAAATGCTTATATACATGTACATGTAGTGGGTCAGTGTAGGGCTGTGCCAAATAACCGAATATTCGATCAATTGTCGAAGATTCAAATATTATTTTTCGAATTTGAATATTTGAATGCAAAGTTCATAAAAAGGAAGGGAAATTTTTTTTGTTTTAAATAAGAAAAATTTTACTATAGAGGCTTGTTTTAAGCAGATTCAAATGGAAAGCGTCAGAAAACTTACAATTAAAAAGGAAATTATTGCTTAAACAACTTAAAAGGAATAGAAATTTTCAACAGGGTAAAGAAATCTTGTTCATTTTTAAATCATGGCTAGAAATTCTCGAAGATGTGAGGAGCTGTTTTATTGATCATAATGGACAATTGTGTGTTATTTCAACTGATTTGGAAACATGACATGTAAATGGTTTGTTCATCAACAATGTGCCGGTCAGTACAACCAAATATTCAGATATTTGACCAAATTGAAGGTCTAATATTCGAATAGTGGATTATTCAAATAGACTCACCCCTAGATCAGTGTATTCGTATTTCATCCTTTGTTGAATTACAAATTTACATTTCAACTCATCTTAGCTACTTCACTGTCCTACCCATCTCAACATACCGGTACATGTCCCCCCCCCCAGATCTACTTGCAGCTACGCATGGTATGGAAGGGACCCTACCTCCTCAGGCCATTTATACAGGTCCTGGGTATCGCAGGCGCTGTCATGATTGCTGCCTCCCGTGTCTCTGACTACAAGCACTTTTGGAGTGACGTGCTCTTTGGGTTCTTCTTGGGGACTGTCATTGCTGTCTTGATGGTTTGTACTGCTTAGCTCACATTTAGTCCAGTATTCATTGGTGTTGGGAGATGTCAGAGTATCTAGCTGCTCTGTTGTCTCCTGAGAATTCTACACTCATGGCTTTTGAATCATTTACATTTCTCCAAGATTTGGTATCAGTAGTAATTATGATCAGATGTAAAAATTTCTAGAATCTGTCATTTCTCTACATGTTGAGAACTTATGGGCTTTATGAACTTATGAGCAAGAGCCTGACCAATCAGGTAGAGAAGAGAATGCTGCAGTAAAATACTCCTTATGTACAGACGCACTTAACCCTCCTATGCTGAAGTCACTCTTTGGGTCTCTTGGTAAACACCTCAAAGAAGCACAGCTGTGTTGTATTGTGCACTGCACCAACATGCAAGAGAGTAACCTTGGGCACTTGTGCATATTTGTGCTGTATAACTAAAGGAGGGTTAAATTAAAATAGAAATTGACCACAGGGTGTGTGTAGTTCACTGGTTGTCCTAAAGAATGTAATGTAGATACTCTGTGTATTTTTAATCTGAAGCATGCAAAGCACATATTGTTATTATCAACAAGTAACCAGTGTCACAAGAGTGCCCTTCCTCAATCCCTTTCAGCAAGACATCACAGTTCCTTAACACCAACCAGTGATCAATGAGCCATTTCAGTATGTCAAACAGGCACGGTCATTCAGAACAAAGCATGTGATGTTAACGGTTGTGCCATTTCGAACATGCTTAGTGCATGTTTGAGTTGGCGTACAGCTGTGCTGATTAGGTCGATCTAGGCACTCACTGATGTTCTTGATGTGCCTTGCACTTCATTTTGAAATGCAGAGCAAGCTCATTGTGAAGGATCTTGAAGGTTTGGGGTTCAATCGTGTTTGCGCCACTTGCCTTTTAACACTTTACTATGACCTTTCTGATTCTGATTTTCTTTGCCCGCAGGCCCTCTTTGTGAGTGACCTGTATTTCTTTGACACACCTTCGACCATTGAAGACATCCCATCTACAAAAGAGTTCAACACCTCACCTAGCGACACCGACCTGTCCACCATCATTACCATGCCCAACTACCAGTCAACAGGCTCTGCTGTAACAAGTGTAAAGAGACCTATCAACATATAGTGGGGGACACCACCTACAGTGCAAAAGACGGGTTTACCATGGGGCCAACAGCAGCTGGTAGCCCATTAGGGCATCAGCGGTGAGATCAACAAACTCTGAAACTGGCCAATGGACTTTTGTGCCTTGGTCTTGCTCAAGACATCCTTCAATCGGCGTCTGCAATTAATCCCAAACTGAGTTTATATACATATTAGTACATACTTACTTACTTATCAAGGTATCTGTGCAGGCCACAGACCTAGGTGCTCCAAACATCTCACCAAACATGGCTGCCAGCTTCTTATTTAACAGAATCAATACTTTTAAAAGTCTTGGTCAACGAGGAAACTAGAACTGGCTTTAAGGTAACACAGATGCACTGCAGTCCATGTTACATGTACTGACATCCATAAGTGATCAACTCCTCATTTCAAAAAAGTCAACTCGTGCTGTTTGCTTATGCCACCAGTATGCACAATGTTACTTTTCCAAGTGTTATATATTTCTAATCTGTTTTATCAGACAGGGATTTGTATCACAGTAGTATTGTCAGCTACAAGACGTATTATTTTATATCAAATGGCAATTCATATCTGCAGCAATTTTATATTAGGATTTCAGTATGTGGACATAACATTGCACAAAAAAGATAAAGATTAAATGCTCAGTTGAAACAGAAATGAAATCTGCCCAACTGAATACAGTATACAGAGTTTGTCCTTAAGAGGAAAAATTTTTATCGTCAGTAGTTCAAATAAGTGGTTGTCTTGTGTTGACTATTCAGCATGTGCATGTGCATTGGTACTGTGTCCTTGTGTAGGACACGTGCTTTTGGCAATATGCCGTGAAAAATAACTCTTAGATGTTTTAATTTTTGTCGTTAAATGTGTTGTTATTATTATGCTCTATATTTTATCAGTGTTGCCATGGTCTGCAGTTTTGCATGTCACAAAGTACCCACACCCTCCATGTTTTCTTTAATGAGAAAATTGTCAGTAGAGAAACAGTATTAGTCTCATGTTATTAGGTAATCAATTAAAATTTCACTCCCAACAAACTTTTTTAAAGGAAGAGAGCAAGTCACCAGCTAGAGTAGAGATATTTAACTATTTCATTCTTTGAAATCTCATTTGGACAAAAGGGACCGAATCAATTTTTTGCAGTTATTGTGTGGTGTATCTCATGTATATATTTTTATTTATCTCTAATCACTCGCTTTTCCACATTGTACCTTTTTTTTAATTCAGTCTAAAAATATACATTCCAACTCAGTTCTCTGTTTGATATTTCAGCCAACTTGTATTGAATACAGACACGTATGCTTCGTAAAGTGAGCACTTGCATTGGAAAGAGTTCCTTAAACTTATCTGAATAATTTTCAGATCTGAAAAGTTGTTTTCCAAGTAAATTCTTCAGTATTTTCCCTGCTAAATTTGACTTGGGATAGAAGAAAAACCTAGTGTTGTGCGTATATGGAGCTCTTACTTTGTATACATCTTTACTTAAATACGTAGTTCAACTTGGGTCCCATGTACATCTACATGTACTTTGCATACCCTTGCAAACTTTTAAGCATCCCCCCCCACTTAAGCCTCATCTGTGAATGTGTGCCCAAATGCCACACATGTGTACGCTGTAATATGTTGCTTGTCTCATCAGGGTGTGCATGTTGGGTATTACAAACAAGGTGTGACAAGAAATTAAATGTACATCACGATCGTGCAGTCATGCTGTCGTTTTCAGTGTGAAACCCAGTGTTTTAGGTGATATAGTGAGTTGAATAATGGAATTTTGACTTCAATAAAATAGCCTTATTGAATTGATACTTCAAATTTCACACTGATTCCAAACTTTCACATTAGTGTTACTTTCTCAAAAAGTCACCTGTTTTCCCATTCAGCTGTTTAGCAAATACAAATCCCGAAGAAAATGTGATTCTTATATGATGGTATACTTGGTATACAACTAAACATTCAACATACTTAGGTGTGCATTTTCTGTTTAGTGAATTTGCGCTTAAAATCGTTTTTGTAAGAAAAAAGGGCCAGTTACTCATAAAATTGATATTTGGAAGGACTGTGTTATTATAGTAGATACATGTATAATAGATTAAAAATATTGATAATTTTGTAACTCCAGTATCAACATAATGCAGTAACATGGTACCTAAAAATTAAATTCTAAGGAAAGGATCTTGTTATGATGATGATGTAAGTTGCAACAATCATGTTCAGATGACCTGGAAGTAGGGCTTATTTTTGTAACACAATAAAAGTCTAAAGAATTTTAAAGAATCACAAGGATCATCGGCAACTTCTTTATTGATTGAAAAAAGGATAAATTAAAAAAATTAAACTGATGAATGAAGTGCATTCTTTCAACTCAAAGACTTTTGATGCTGTACCTGGGCTAGACGTGAATGGATTACGAAAACATTCATGGACGAAATCACAAATTACATATCTCGATGCGAGTGAAAAAGACGGTCCCAACTCTGTTCCATGAGTTTTGTTTGTAATAATATATGTCTCACCTCCTGCCTCTAAAACTGAACTTTAATTCATTTCCTCTACTGTTACCAACATTCACTCTGGGGCCTCATTTGCATTTCCGCTATAGAATGAACCGTAGAATAAGTCCAAAGTTGAGAACAGGGCTGGAAGCCTTCTAGAATTTGGTTTCCTATCCCTGTTACTTGAGTGTCGAACTCAGAGTGGGGGAACATGTGCCACCTTCCCCGAATTCGAAATCTGTGAATAATCTCCACTGAAATTGTGAAATGAGCCCCGGAAATGAGCGTTTTAAGAGCAGCTCAGTGTCTCATGCCGCCCTCTTGGAAAGGTGTGCACCCCGGGTGCCCCCCGTTACATATTTAGCCCTGGTTACCTACGCCACTACGTGACTACTGTTACCTTGGCGTATGATTTTTGTCAGTTTGATATTTCCAAGACTGATTTAGTAGGGGCCTAAAGCAAAATACTACTAGCCCTGCGGGTGGACTCCATGACCGTAACTTCGGCAGAAGTGGACTCCCATCTGAAAAGCTAACAAATTAAACAACCAACATTTTCAACAATTCTACCTTTTGAAAGAAGCCAATTTCACGCCTGCAAATCCTTTGCATCCTTATCAATTCGGACGGTGGGTTGAGAAATCCCAAAGACAACCACAAAGGACAGAAACAGGAAAATAAACTCGGAAGTAGCGTAACTTTCAGCCGGCCTGCAGTGCAGTTCGCACAGTGAGTGCGCGCGCAACTATTCAGCCTAAGAGAGCTGCGTACGTGCAGAGAGAGCACGTGTCTTAGCTACAAAAATGAACGCCTTTGGTTTAACGGGCACCGTCCCGACAGAGCTGCAAGTGGCGTGCGTTGACGGGACTTCCAGGGCTACTGTAGTCAGATGACTTGAGTGTCACCCGTTCATAAACGTGCAAGCTCCGTACGAGTGCGAGTCTGTCACACAGATCTGCGAGGAAGCTGAATAAGTCTCCTCCATTAATGCAGTAATTACATTGCAAGCTTTAGTATAACATGTCAACAGGTGGACTGACAAAAATTGTGCACAAAATTCGATAAAAGTTTTGGGGCTTTGGTATATTCTGTCGCCAGCGATTGCAGGACTAATTTTGAGTTTGCCTATTTGAAAAAATTATACCAAATACATTAGGGCTGAGAACTTTTTCAAAACGCACATGCAGAAATAAGTACTTAGTTAACAAGACAATTGGGATATAAGTGTCAATAACGGTAACAAACATGATTTCTTAGGCCTTGACTTCAACATGAAGATCACATATTTTTCAGAATATGAAAGGCATGTCGTTGGGGATCCACCACCTGATTTCCAAACAGAGTACCAGCATATCCATAAATTTTAACCTCCTTAAACAAGCCAATGAATATGAAGCTCACTGAAAAAGATGTTTAACGACATTTCTTCAGTGAGAAAAGCTGACAAAAAACGGAATTAAGGCACTAGTGATAATAGGGGAATACAAAAACACTTGCGTGAAAGTTCAGTCAGCTGTTTGATGGAGGCAGAGGGTTTTAAAATTAGTCCGCGCTGCCGTGCGACAGGTTTTTCTGGGGTGTACTGACCTGTAATTAGGCCTGAAATGTGTCCGCCGAGCTCATTGATAAAAGTTAAACACCTCAAAATATACTGTTTTAGAGAATCCTGAGAGTCATAGAATTGGGGAATTGAAGAAATGTGACATTGAACCTCTGGCCTGGACTTGGGGCTTCCGATTCTCAGCACCTTTGGATACAACCGGGTCCAAAAGTGGCACTATTTAGTCATTTTGCAGAGGGATACATTTTCAAAATGGCTAGTTTTCTGGCAGGGAAATTTCTTCAGTTTAGGGGTATACTGCTTTGGGAGAAAATTTATCAAAAATTCACTGGTCAACGCGCTAAAAATTGAAAAGAAAATGAAAGCGTACATGTCGAACATCATATTTCTGTCCAGCCCGGACACCCGTTAGAGTTGTATTTTTAAAATGATTTTGAAGTACATGTACATGTAGAGGGTGTCAATGGAAATTTAATTACAGGGTTGCACCCTCTGGTAGCATAAAATATTCCCTCTGGAACTGGCCTCGTAAACAAATAGAGCGTGGCAAGCAATCTTTACGGGACCAGTCTGTTACTGTAGTCCTTGTAACTACTGTAGTACAGACGCATTAAAGGATACTGGCATCAGACAATTTAAACCCCGTTTGCCGTTGCCAGGCATGACACAGAACACTGTAGGCCTATGCACCTCGACGATGAGTTGAATTTTTATGATGAGATGTAGTGAAACAAAGAATGTCGGTCACTTCGGCACCTAACAACTTGGCACCTCGTCAGCTCGGCACCCAGTCGGCACCTATCCAACTTGGCACTTCCAATTTTGCCTCCAGTCTGCGTTGTCCAACTCGGCACGTGACAAACTCGGCACTGGAACTGAACCAATTGGTTCTAATTCCGTACATGTGCTTAGTTAATTTTGGTTGATATGGAAATTGGGTAATCCGCATGGATTATGGTAACCCAATTAGTTCATCAAAGATATTGATAAAGAAGCGAGTTTCTTTTGTAAAAGGGAAGATTGCAGGAAACCCATTTTTGAAATTAAAGTCCGATTTTAATTATAAAAGAGAAATATAACCCTTGCTTTATCTTGGCAATTCTGTGAAAGCTCGTTATCGAAGTTGCACCTGTGTCCCCGGCCCCCCGGCAGACCCGACCTAACCACAAGCCGAGCGGCTACTAGGCCCGACTAAATACAGCATGGTTTAGTTCTGGATAGTAGTGAGAATGACTGGTCCTTCGGTGTTGGTCAGCTTGACCGTACCTCCTTCGTACCATGCTGTATTTGGATACTGACATCCATCCTGCTTGGCAAATATTACCTGCCAAACAAAAACGTAAGAAGTCAATTTTAATGTCACCTCCTTTGTCAAATTAGACAGGTCAGGTTTAACGGACAGAAAAATGTCACAAGTACTTTAGGCCCCAAATTTATTGGAATGGCGCACCTTGCATTTCTGTGAGATTGGGTTGGAAAGCGCTCTAGCGTATTTTGTAGTTGAGTGGTGGTATCGCCAAATGCTAACTTATCTACGTGGTTACTGAACCAAATTATGCGTTGGCCCAGATGGTCGTCTACAGTCATGTCCGTTGAAGTGTGCCAGTTGGCCAGCTGATGGCGCCAGCACGGATCTACGGTGGAGGTGGTACCGACGGTTCTCATGGAGTTACAACTTCAGAATCAGTCACGTTTGTGAAATGTGACCGGCATGAAAGCGATAGCGCGCCTGAAACCATATAAAAGATGTCGCACAACGCCAGAACCACGCAAAAGAGTCTTCGGTGTGAAGAAGAACCCGCAGTCAGCTGACGTTACAGCCGGGTTCGACCAGCTAACATTTTGTCGACCAGTGGTTAATTTTGCTTGGTATAACCTATGCAGAATATAGATAGTAAAACGCCCAGTATTTGACAAATGGTCGCTGATCGAAGGACTGATCCCCACCCTATAGACCTTTCACTAATAATAATAATAATTAATTCATCGTTACGCACACATGTGCACAAATGGCCTTGGCGGCAAGGGCCATTAAAAATATACAGGGTTTTTGATCATTTTCTATAGGGTTTTCTGGCTTTGTTCATTTTTTCTTCAGAAAATCACTTTAAATTGTTTCTGTTATTAGTCTGTACGAGATTAAAAGGCCAAAATCCCTCTTAGTTTAGAAACTAAAAGCACAAACGATTTAATGGAAGTTTCTGAAGGAAAAACTGAACTGAAGCCTGAAGACCTGAGACCAAATGGTCAAAATTGCACCCTTGTGCATTCGTGCATAATTATGAATTTATTAGTGAAAAGGTCTATTATATAGTGACCGGTACCTGGCTACGGTTTAACGTGAGCGATTAGCCCTGTCAATTTGGATGCTGAATATTTAAATTTTTGTCAAACCAATTACGTTGCAGCGAGAACTGAATACACTATAACATCTAACAAAAGAAGTACGGAGCAATAACAATGGATGCTCATTGTTCTTGCACTGTTTTTCTTTTGTTTGATGCTCATAGTGATAAAAAACAAAGTATCCATCCTTGCTATGTCTCTGTCGATCACAGTAAGGTAATATATTTTCAATGATTTTCATCGATAAATCATTTTACGGCAATTTATTTCAAATCAGTGGTTACTGTACTAAATTGTAGATAAATGAACAATTTATGGTGAAGATTTTTTTCGGTAATGAAGAAGAAAAAGCAAAACGCTATCAGCTCCTGCTTGATTGTGCATTGAGTGGGCATTGTTTCCTCATATACATACACTCAGCAGCATTAATGGATTCATTACCCGCTACGGGTCCCTATGTACGTTCGGAGGACATCTGTGAGACAGCCGGAGACTACGCACGGGGCGGGAAATAGTCTAAATACTGGTGGCAGCAGCACATCTGACCATAGAGGTGAAATGTTGTTTCATTTTTTTTTTGCCATGAACACACCTGGTCAAGATAGGCTGGCGTCAGGGGAAGGAGTTTGAGGACAAGTTATTTCAAAGCGTCTGTAAGTTGCTTGGAAACCGCAAGACCTTCATCATGCTGTTTCACCCTCAGTCAGATGGGATGGTGGAGTGGTTCAACCGAACAGTCAAAACGATGCCTGTCGATGAGAGTCGGGACGATTGGAATGAACATCCTCTGTATGCAATGATGGTCTAAGGCGAACATGCTTGTGCTTGGCCGAAAGGTAGGGCTTCCACTGGGCCTGGTGGTGGACCTGTTGGAG